TACTTGCTACTGTTCAGATTTTAGAGATGTTTAAAGGTCTAAATGAAGTCAGCTAATTTGTGATAGGTTAAATGGCTGAGTCCGAGTGGGGCTTATTGAATAGATTTTTAATTGCCACATGAGCCACACCACTCCCAGACTTTTTGAATGTAAAAAGACCCCTTCCATCATTCTTGCATGTATACACATGCACATTTTTAATGTAAATGTTTTGGGCCAGCGCTTACACTGCAGTAGCAGAAGGGATATTCCTTCTCCAGTCAGTTCCTTAGTTCTGTCTACTCAGGAAAGGGTCTTTAAAAAAACTGTGGACAGTCACTTCAACCAGATGCAAGGTGATGCTTGTAAAGCAACAAAACCAGCAGAGCCCAGAGTCATTGGATTTGAATTACTGCTCTGCTGTGAAAAGATAATTACCACCACATAGCCTGGAACTGCAAAAGTATGCAAAAAAAAAAAAAAAAAAAGACACAAAAAAACCCCAAAACAAAAAAAAAAAAACCCTAGCGTTTATTCCTTTTAGTGCCTGGGAATGTCTTTGTTCAGTGAGTTTGATCTAATCCTGCAACCTCTGTGGGTTTTGTTTTTTTCTTTCCTTTCTCTTTAGCTTATCTACATTGCTTGCTCGTATGCCACTGTGTATCTGATCTACATGAAATTTAAGGCCACCTATGATGGAAATCATGATACATTCAGGGTGGAGTTCCTGATAGTTCCTGTTGGTGGACTCTCATTTCTTGTCAATCATGACTTCTCTCCTCTGGAGGTGAGTTGATTGTGGGCAGGAAGTTATACTTTTTTTCTCCAAAATATGAAGATGAGCATTTTTAGGCTGATTGAGGAATGCTTGAAAGATGCCTGTGTTTAGTAGGTTCAGGCTAATCCTGCTTCCTTAATACATCTTTTTACATTGTAGATTTCTGTAAAAATTCAGGGTGCTTCATGAGACTAGCACTGTTAACAACACTGATTATTTTATTAAGCAGGAGACAGGACACTCTGGTTACATTAATTCAAAAGTATCCTTCCTTTTGTTATGTTTGTTAAAGAAATGCCCCAGAATGCAGTTTGTGAATAGTTGGTGCCACCTGGTGAAAACAAAAGGAATTCTAATACTACTTAAAGTTTGTAGAATTGGAAATGGTCTAGAGTATTAGAAATAATTGCATTGTATTTGAAATGCAGCTATCTGTTTTCCTATCAGAAGAATTATATTGAAAATGTAATTGTAGAGTTCAAACAGGTAATTCCACAAGATAGATAATAACTTTAGATGCTTATTTTAAGTGAGTTAAGCTGCATTTTTATATTTACAAGAGTTAAATGATTTTATTAGAGTAAAGGAATTTGAATTCAAACACTTTGAGACGTTATTTTAAATTTTGCTCTGTATTAACTCATTCTTTAAACCAGTAGCTTAAAAAAGTTGGAAGAACATGGGGAAAAAAGGACTTTATCTTCCCTGCAGCTTTTCACAGCGTCAACTCTGTAAGCTGTATTTCATGGTACTGTGAATCCAGAATTGATGGATGCACATAAGCTCCCTCACGGATAAACCTGTGCCTGCTAGCTCACCAGACAGCTGGTTTGGAGAGTCTGTTTTCTGCCAAGAGAGTTGTTCCCTCATACCATCCCATGGTTGACTATGAAGCTTTCATTTAATTTCTCCTGTACCAAGCATAGTTGGTCAAAATATTCATAACCTATTCATAACATTGTTAGAGAGTGAAAAGTCAGGCCAAGTCAAATATTTTCTGTGCTTCTGTTATTGATAAGACAGTTGAATATACCTGTGTTTTGGTTTGTTTGTTTGTTTGGTTGTTTTTTTTCTTTCAGATACTGTGGACCTTCTCTATCTATCTTGAATCGGTTGCTATTCTCCCTCAACTTTTTATGATCAGCAAAACTGGGGAAGCAGAGACCATCACTACTCACTACCTTTTCTTCTTGGGTCTGTACCGTGCCTTGTACTTAGTCAACTGGATTTGGCGCTACTATTTTGAGGGATTTTTTGACCTCATAGCTGTTGTTGCTGGTGTGGTCCAGACCGTTCTTTACTGTGACTTCTTCTATTTGTATGTTACAAAAGGTAAGTAGTACAATAACTTCTAGCTTCAGGTTGTGGAATGTAGCAATTAATATGTTACTAGGGATCTGCTATATTGACATTACTAGGTTGTTAATTCTGTGTGCAAGTTATCACTGGAACTTCCTTGATAGCTTTGTCAAGTATGCTTTCTGCTAGTCTGGGGCATTTCTGAGGATTGGTTTTGAGTATAGATAGAATATAAATGTATAAATGGTCTGATGAACCTAATTGACAACTTTAAAATACGTACGGCTAAATACATGTTGCTGTTGTCTTCCATCAAGGAGCATGATCCTCATGCTTCTCCTGACAAAGTATACTGTTTTGTGCAGACTCCATGCTTACAGACACTTTTCTCAGTGTTTTAAATACCCAGAGTCCAAAGGATTTTGGATTTTTCTGTTTATGCTAAGTGCAGAAGCAGCTATTTCTGCTGAGTGCATTAGTAATTCTGTCCTTACGTTCCAGCTTTCATCATATAACTACAAAGCTACATGGGTGCTGTGTCACTTTGGTCCTAACTCCTAAGAAACCATGGTCATAGGCTAGTATGTCCTATGAGGATAAAAAGTGAGAATTCCAGGGTGCCACAAGAGGGCAGGATTGGCATAGTAGTTAATATGTCACAGTTTTACCACTATGCACATATTAAAGAGGCAAGCTTGGGAGGACTGTCTGCAGTTCACCATTTTGTAACAGAGTGAATCTGTGTGATAATTTTTGGTCCCTCTAAAGTTTTAACAGTGTGTGCTTCTCCTAGATCACATCTTTGTTTTGCTAACTCTTTTCTTTCCTACTTTTCCTTACAGTACTCAAGGGAAAGAAGCTCAGTTTGCCAGCGTAAGTGCCAAAAAAACCATCACCAGCATCTGTCCTTTTGGATGCTTGGACAGAACAATCCTTATCACAAGCAAAGGCGAAGATGCTTGAGACAGAAAGTCAGAAACACAGCTCTTTATAGTGCAGGTAGTCATCAGCGGCTCTGTAAGAACGGAGGAAAAACAACCAGCAGATTTCTGTTTGATGCATCTTGCCTTTATCTTTTTTATTACTATGTATAAAGATTTTTTACATAAAGAAACTTATACTGTATTAATAAATTCAGTGTATGGTTTCAATTGGAATAGTTCCAAAAGTGAGATTTTTGTGAGATTGTTTATGACCAGGAACAAGTGCAAACTTTTTTTTAATTTTCAAGAATTTCTTTGAAATTACTGATTTTTTCTTTTTTTTTTTTTTTTTTTTTTTTTTTTCAGTGCACAAGTATGTGCATCCTTGATGGATGGTAGTCATCTGTTCTTTCCCTTTGATTCAATTTTCATTCCACTATATTTATTTTTTTCCAAAAGGTGAATATATGTCAACTCTAAATCTGAAACCACCAATGTTTGATGTGATGTGCTGGTGCCCAGTCTTTGTGCCATCTGCTGACATGGAGTTCCTTGTTTAAAATATATGTTGGTGCTAGAAGGGGAACAGTCGCATTCTGTAGTTCCCCTTCTAAAACAGGCTGATGGCAAGAGGACAGTAAGAATATCTCTTGAGGCCACAAGGATGGGCCCTTTCCTGTTTTGCCATGATGTTTGGGAAGGTAATCCCAGTAACAAAAAAGCACGTGGCAGCTCAGGTGTGAAGGGTGAGAAACGGTTGTGTTGCTTAGAGGCAAATGCTTGTGACTGTGTTCTTTGTTCAGGAAAAGGAGGTTAAATGTAATGGGAGACTTGTAAGTTGTTGATTACAGTAATCTGTAGGTGATCATTTTAAACTATCTACATTTTCTTTTCAATGAATGCTTTATAAGCAACTTCCATGTTCAGCTTCAAGTGGTTTTTGATGTCACTTTTGGACAATTAGTATTTTTTTTATAAACTTTTCAAAATCAGCAGCACCAGTTACCATTCTTTATCCTTTAAATGATTCCCTTTTTTTACTGAGCTGTTGCATGATTTATCCTGTGTTACCATCCTCAATAAACACTTTATGAAATGGTGAAAATGTTTTTTTTTTTTTTTATTATTCCTGAATTAGTTTTCTGTTAATCTGAGACCAGATGAAAAGTTATAGTGAGGACAAGCTGCTTAATGTCAGTGTTTGCTCTATTGAAATACAGACTTTGAAGGCTGAGAGGGGCGTTCTCACTGAACGAAGTAATGGTGACTTAGCTCTTGGGAAACAAGCAGAACTGTCTCCACCTGAGTGCAGATGAACGTTTGGTGCTTATATGTTGCTGGTTTATCCTCAAGAAATCACTTACTTTCTCTTAGTTTACTGTCATTATCCCCCTAGTTAGTGATGGCTGTCATTCCTAACCCCAGCTGTGAAGGGTGGTTTTTATTTGCAGTCTCTAACACTTCAGATACTGCACCGAGTATCCCACTGCTGTTCGGCACTGATGATAAATAATGGAACACAAGTGTCTGATTGTGGTTGAGGCCGTGGGGCTGCACGAGCGCTGTGCTCGTTACTGTGAGCGGGAACTCTCCCGGGGTGGGTTATTTGCTTCCACGCTGTTAGCTTTGTCCCTCGGCGGGGGTGTCGCGGTGCGTGTTCAGCGCTGCGGGGCTGCCGTAACAAAAGCCGGCAGCCGCGACGCCTCCCAGCTCGAGGGCAGGCGGCAGCGTTCTGCCCTGCCGTTCGCTGCCGCCCCTGCGCCTTCTTGCTGGTTTTCCGGGGCTTCGCGGGCACCGTCCCCGCCCTTACCCCGCGCCCCCTCAGCCTCGCGGCGGCCGTTTAACGGGTGGGGCCGCCGCGTGCGCACGCGCTTGGGGGAGGAGCCCTCGCCTCGCCGCGCGCGGGGCGGTGGGAAGGGCCGCGGCCACCCAGGGCGCGTGCGCGCCTTGGTCCAATCCGGGCGTGGAGAGGGTGGGGCATGTCCGCGGGGCAGCTTGGGGCGCCGCGTGGTACGGCGTGACGCACAGCCGGCCCGCGGGGGGGCGGGCGGCAGCGGGAACGAGAACGGGGACGAGAGCGGCGGCGGCGGCGCGGCCCGGAGGATGCCCGGGCTGGTGGTGTTCGGCAGGCGCTGGGCCATCGGCAGCGACGACTTCGTCCTCCCGGGGGCCTTTGAGCTCTTCGTCAGGCTGGTGTGGTAAGGCGGCGCGCGCGGCCGCCGGACTGGTGCTCGCCTCCCCGGGGGCCGCTTCCCGCCGCTGGCTGGTCCCGCTGGCGCGGCCGGCCCGCGGCGGCTGAGCGGGGTTTCGGCGGTGGTGGCGCGGCCGCTGTCCCCTCCGTCAGAGCCGTTGCGCCAGGGCGGGCGAAGCGGGCGGTTCTGTGGTGGAGCCCTTTGCCCGCGGTAATCCCGTAGCGTCTGTAATCACCGCGCTGCCTTCTGTACACGCGGAACCGTATTCGCTTGGTTGTATTTAATCGCTGACTAGCGTTAATGTGGTTTCATTACCTCAGGAATTAACGTGATGATTCCTTTGTTTAGACCAGCGTGGGTCCTTTGGCATCTCTGGCGATCAGTAGCGCCGTAAGGGGAGCCTGTCACTCGGTCTGCAAGCGACCTTGTCATTTCTGCCGAGTATTCGTACAGACGTTTAATTCTGACAAATTCCTTATATAACAACTCCCTTTCTCTTAATCTTTGTGGAATGCTTTCATTAAGATAAAAACTACTTATCAGGTGATCGCTTTGCAGTGTGTACTCTTCCCTTTCAACTATAACTTTTATTATCTTACTTCCCTGTAGGTGGATTGGAATTCTTGCTCTTTACACAGTGCATAAGGGGCAGTTTAACTGTCCCGGTGGAGGATTACTGCACAGCTACTTGCTTGTCCTCCTCGTTCTCTTGGCTTCTATAATATGTGTCTTGTCTGCTCTTGTATACATCAGTATGCAAGGTAAATAGTTAATAATTATGTTCTATATTTATCTAGTAGGATTGTAATATATATGGGGTTTTTAACCTGGAGATGACATTTTTTAAAAATGAAAAAAAATTCAAGTGCTTTAATGATAGTCAAACTTGAGAAACTTTCAAGATTAATGTATTTGCCTTAATAGTATTACCTCTGTTGGGAATCTAAAATAATAAATGGACACAGTAGCTTAATGCAGCTAATAGTGACACGTTCATTGCCATCAGAGCATCTTGAAAACTGCGTCTGTGTTCACCATTAGCATGTGCTTTCAAATGGAACACTGCTCAGACTCTGACAGGAATGTATTCAAAATCAATTTCTCATCTGAAGTATCATGTTAGCTTTGCCTTGCATGGGCATATTTAGTCATGTCTTGTGAAAGTTCGTTACCTGCAGTGGGTTGCTTAGGAAAAAACACACACAGGAAAGCGATACATATAAATGTCAGAGTAAAACTAATTCACTAAGTACTTTTAAATAGAACAGGACTTACGGCTTGAAGTGAAACAGGAGTAAGGACCCAAATGCAGCTTCTAGTCGTTTGTAGAAATGGTTTGTTTTGGGTTAAAAAATGCTAGGAAAGCTTTTTTTCCTGGTGAGGCACCTCATTATCGAAGTAATACTAGGATGATTAATTTGAAATATGTGTGTGAACTCTCGAGTAATAGATGAGACTGCACAATTTCTAATATATTGGTTCTCACATCCCATTGTAAATAAATGTGATGTATTTAATGATTAAGTATTTAAATTATTTACGTGGAAAGAAGCATAAAGAGTGTATGAAGAGAATTTATGGCAGAGCAGGGAGGTGAATGATAATCCTGGCCTTGAATCTAACCACTGATTTTCCTACAATTTCCAGAGGAGGGAAAGGAAGATAAGACAAGTAATGCTACTTATATTTATATCAAAGTGGAGGAGGTGAGAGATGTAACTGTAAATAGCAGGGAGAAAAGAGTTGTATAGTATAAGAGTATAGCAACAAGGCCACTATAACTAAGAAATGGAAGAATTCTGAGGCTAAAATTCCAAGAAAATTAATGGTGAGATGTCTTGAACTGTGGTTATAATGAATAGGTTTGGGAGCAGTGGTTCTTGCACCACCCCTTGCACTGGCATGGGCATTAGGGATGCCAGTGGTGAACCTGACTGGAGAACTCATACTCTGGGTTGTGGTGCTGGGACAGGAAAGAAATTATTTTCAGGAACCACAGTTCCACCTGATTGTGTCTGTGTAAGCAACTGTGCTGTTACAGTTCAGGCTCCAGCGTGAGAATGGGAATAAGTGACCACTGGATCAAGGGCTTTTTAAACAGCTTTATCACTGGATGTAAACCACAGCTTTATAACTGGAAACTAGTTTCCAAAGGTGTTTTTGTTCTGCAGTGTTTTAAGCCTTTATAAATTATCCTGCCTACACATGAGCACACACACCCTACCACCTTATTACTCTGCAATCAACAAACTGGTTTAAGGAGCTATGCTGGCCAAAAATTACTCCCCTTTTTATTGCCTAAGAGTGCTAAAGGGAAGAGGTTATTAGTAAGCTAACAATACAGAAAAGAGTCTGAGAAGTATTTGTCCTGGTAATAGTCCTACTTTTGTTCTCCTAAATAAGAATGTGAATGAGTTTATTATTTAGTGACTCAATAAAAAAAACTTCAATGTGGCCCAGCAAAATAGCATCTAAAAATGAAATATTTCAGCCAACTAAAGGCTAAATAGAATAATAATAAAAGCAGGCACCGAGAGTCCTGAGGAACTGTAGGTGAGCCAGTGCTTCAGTATGCCACTTTGACTTCTGCTGGGTGCAGCACTACTGCCTCAGGTTCACTGCAGAACTGTCTCAGACTAGAGAGTGATTTTGGGTATTAGTAGAGTAGATTCTAAGAATGACAGCTATAAACCCATTGTTTTTTTTCTTTTCTCAGATTCAGTGATAGCTTTCTACAGTATGGAAATATTTTATACTTTAAATAAGTTTCTTACATTCTGTAAAGCTCAGAAAGTTCATATATCCAGGTGGGGTTTTGTGTACTTAAGATGCATTTATAAATAGTTTTTGTTTTAAATTCTCCCTGTAATTTCAGGAACAATTTCTAATCCGGGCCCAAGAAAATCACTTCCCAAGCTACTTTATACTCGCCTACTTCTCTATTTGCCTGAATTCATCTGGGCTGTCGTAGGAGCTGTGTGGGTGTCAGACAGCAGTGTGCGCTGCGAGAAGACTGTGATAAATGTCATCATTGGGACAGTTATTGCAAGGTAAAGGTGCCTTCCCCCAAATCTAAGCTTGATAGTATACATGAAAAGAAAATATCGCTTACTTTTTTTTATATATGTGCTTACTGAAGGCTTTGCAGCAGTTGGAGACTTTTATATTTATTATAAATTATTGTGGTTTCTCATAAAAGGGTTTTCATTGTGGAAGGAGAAGATTTTTTTAAATCTAGACATCTAGAATGAGTTGGTATCCTTCCCTAAACAAGCTTGAGCTACTTGTCTTGAGAGAGCATGTGCTAGAGTAAAGAAATAAAGGTGAAGATCAGAAAGGGTAAGAGATAGATGGGAATATAGAAGACTGGATAAATGTCAAGAGGGTGGTTATTAGATCACTGGTAGTGAAAATGGAGCCTTCACACCACTGGGTTGCTATTTCCAAAGCACGGGATTGTGATTTTGAGTTTGGTGCCCTGTGTGAAATGAGCGGACAGCCTTGTTCTTGTGCCTAGTGCATTGAAAACACAATAACAAAACATGCACCCTTAAGAGAGTAACAGATGCTGTTCACATGGTATTTCACACCTGACTTTGTTTTTTCTCTGTCAGGATCTATAGTTGTGTTTTGTTGTGTACTTGTCAGAATTATCTGGTTTCATGGTCTTTTTATCCCGCTTCCTTCTGTTTTGCAGCTGGGTTATCATCATCTTTACCATCATTGGAGTTGTAATCGTCTTTGATCCTCTTGGGGGGAAAAAGACGTTTTACCTCACCGATAGTGTGAATCGGAACCTGGAAAGCAGTCAGTCAGGGCAGTTGCTATATAATGTGAAGAACACTGCCACCAGAGTCTGGGAAAAAAGAATCCGGTTACTGTGTTGTTGTATTGTGCAAGATGATGATCATCGAGTGGCTTTTACAAGTATTGCAGAGCTTTTCCGCAACTACTTTTCAGTAAGAATGAAAGCTTTTTTTATGTTCTTTTGACTAACTCTGAATTTGCAGACATTGCAACACGCATGTACCTTTGTTTAGCCAGAGGTCCCTGCTACCCCGTGCCTTGAAATGAGGTGCCTTTGAATATGCCAATTTCAAAACTAAAGGTGATTCTCGTACAGGGTATACAACACTGATTTTCCCCTCACTTGAACAAGGGTTTCTCTCCCTTCACAAGTGTGTAAGACAGTATTCTTTCTCCTTAGGTGAGTGTCTAGTCAGGAGAACAAGAGTGTTTTTCTTTTCCTCGGTATGTGAAGATGGAGGCATTTTTCTTGTTGACGATGAGCAAGGAGTCATACCCATAGCAAAGAATCAGACTGCTCTCTGACAATTAAAAAAGTGAGCCCCCCAGTATGTTAAGGCAGTCTTCCCATTCTGAGCACATACCAGGCTAGAATGTGCACATGCAGAAGGTTGCTTTTTGGAAACAGTGTTTTCCAAATCGGAGTGTTGTTTTATCTCAAGTTTATGTCACCTACTGCTTGGGCAGACACAGGTCAGCATTGACTTTGAAGTCTGTTTGTGATTTCAAGACTACTAGTTCTTGTTTATTAAGAAATGCTTAGGCATACTGATTTATAGGTACGGCCTACTCAGTGGTTTATAGGGTAAAGGACGTAAGTCGTGTGGAGAGGTGACTGCCCCAGATAGTTGAATAAAACCCCTTCAGTCTCCTCCTGTGTAAAATCCTTCTTAGTTGTTCTCCGTATAGAGAACTTTTCACATGGTGGTATAGAACAGTGATCCATAATGTCTGGATCATTATTTGCTATATGGCTGAGTGGGTCCTCTGTTGGGTGTTTTGTTAAGTGATGGAATTCCAGTGTAGAATTACCATCGGTCTTATTGAAGAAAACCTTCAGTATGCACAGAAGGGGTAGGAGGTTAGATGCTGCTGTGACCTGTTTCTCCAATGCACATTGTGAGTGAAGTACATAAACTGAAAAAATAGAATTCCATGTGCATTTTCTTATGAAATAGTTTTACCATGTTGAGGTGTGGGGATGGTTTCAAGCGCTTTTTCATTTCTTTATACAGGACACTGATCTGGTGCCAAGTGACATAGCAGCTGGTTTGACTCTGCTCCATCAAGAGCAAGACAAAATGGAAAGTTGCCCCAAAGAGCCTGAAGAAGTCCTGTGTCATTCTCCACCATCTCTTGTGGTACGATAGGGTTGTTGGCAGTCTCTGGTGCAGTTACTCTAGGAGATGGTGCCAGATCAAATCAAAATGCAGTTCTTTGCACAAGGGGTTTTTATTTTTTTAACAAGATTAAACACTCATAAAAATTCACAACAATTTAAATTATTAATACATGCAGTAAAACCATCTTGATGAGTTTGCAGTCAAAATCTGCTTTTTATAAGTAGAACTTATATACGAATGGGGAATTAAGTACAGAAAGGAACCAGTTAGGACATTTGATTATTGTGGAAGAGCTGGGAGAGAAAAGGAACAGAGACAAAGCTAATATTTAGTAGTATTTGCATAGAACTGAAAAGCTAGTCTTTTAGTTTAGGTCTGTTTAAATTATGTCTACTGCAAATCTCCAGACAAGATAAGAAGCAAAAGCAGGTTACAGTTTGCTAATTTTTGCTAACCTTATATGGTAAAATGCCTTTGTAAATTATTTTACCTTATTTTGATCTGTGTTTCATGGAAGTATATTAATTCTACTTCAACCACTTTCTTTCAAATTCCTTTTTAATCCAGCCAGTATAATGGGATCATGTTTACCAGAGAGATCTGCTGCAGGCTCTTTAGGCATTCCTTTGACATCCTTAAGTAACATATTTGGAGCAAATCCTGTTTTCAGTATTGAGCTTGTTGGTGTAGAAGTATTGGAGGAAACTAATTTAATGAGAGCTTTTCAAGATTCTTGAGCTGTGTATCTATGTAAATAAACAGACTTTTTTTCTGGAATATGAGTGGATATTCTTGGTTCCTCTTAGACCTTGAGGTTTTCCTTTTGCATAGTGCATATTTCATCATGCCTTGATTTTCACTAGTCTGCATTCATGTTTTATTCTGGGGCTGCCCAACACGCCTTTTTTTCCTCTCCCTGTGTCCTTTCAGACAGATGATTTGGATATTGAACTGGAGAATGCTGCTCACTACATGCTGTTTGCTGCAGCTGCTTATGGATGGCCCTACTACGTATACACCAACCCATTTACTGCACTCTGTAAGCTCAATGGCGACTGGTAAGTTCAGTCAAGAGCTTAAAAATACATAGCTTCCTTTTACTTTATTTAACTAGTGTTAACAGAAATAAAATAGTTTCAACAGCAGTATTTTTGTTGCATTAAAATACATCACTCTTGGGAGTATGTGAGTTTGACTGGTGGAGTTATCTTTCACAAATTCAAACATCAAAGTAGAAATGAAATTCCAACATCTTTCTACCCTCAGAAGCAGATTAGCTTTTGTTTCTTAAGAAAAGTTTTTGAGATAAATAAAATTAATTTAGCAAAGTAGCAGAGGAAGAATTGGAATTGCACCAAATGTTTTAAAATGAAATACCTTCGAGCTACCTTTTGAGCATGTATGTATGTACAGAAGTAAAAATATATCAACAGTTTGCCTTCTCTTAAAGGAATTAGCAAAAGTTACCTGTCCCTCCAGCCTCCATTTTATTCCCTTTTCCCCCTTTACTAAAAAAAATGTTTACAGTCATTATTGAAGTATGCATAATGCTGTGTAGGATTACTCTATATTTAAGTGACCACTGACTTTTGTGACTGTAACCATGATTTTCTTAGTTAGTAATGTGAAATTATTTAGCCTGAAATATAAATTACTTGGAAAAAAGAAGTCACATAATACAATGGATGAAATATGAGATAAGCCTGCTGCACAGAATTTGTTTTGAATTTCCTTTTTGTTTGTTTGTATTTTCTGTCATTAGCCTGTAGTCTTAAGAATTCTTTTCTTATTGCATTGTTTGCTCTGCTGATAGTCCTGTAGCAATGGTGTATTTGCCAGTCCTTGAATGGAAAATGTATGGCATGCTGCTCAGGCAAAACCAGGTTTGTGGGCAGAGGTAACATCTTGTATCAGACTACTGGTACTATTGAAAAAAAAATATATATATATATTAAGGAAAGGAGCATTTGATTCCTAGCAGAAATCTTCTGCAAATGTAACTGAGTTTGATTCCTTGAAAGGAAACCTAAAAAATTTGAACATGAAAGTTTTTCTCTTCTGTGTTTGTTAGTTGCGGAAATAGACCAACAGATTCTGATATAACTGGCAGTGATCGTCATAACTTTCACTTTGGATCCATCCTAAAAATAACAGGACTGCAGTACAGAGACTTCATTCATATCAGTTTTCATAACAAGGTAAACAATCTGGACAGGCATTCAGCAAAAAAACCTAGTGATTAATTCAGTGAAAGCAAGAGGTGAAGTTTCTACTTTGCCTTCAGCATTTATAACATGCAAGATGCAAAGCCAAATGAAAACAGGGCCTGAAACATTCAGTTCTGATTTTTTTTTCCTAATCTAAGGGAACAGCCACAAAATGATTGACATAAATCTGTCTCAGTATTGTAATAAAGACAGTTCTAGTAACTTCACAAGAAAATAATTCAACTTCTTTCCATAATACAATAGAGAGCTTGATAAGGGAGCTTTCAGAAAGTGAGGACAAATGCTTACTCTTATAAAAAGTATGGTGATTTACTGATTATATTTTTCCCTCCCAGATCTATGAGATTCCTTTTTTCGTTGCTTTGGATCACAAAAAAGAAGCTATTGTGGTTGCAGTGAGAGGAACCTTGTCTTTTGAGGTATTATCCGTCTGATACATATAATTAGCTTTATAGAAATGGGAGATTTCCTAGTAACTAGAGGAAATTTTGTTACATTGGCACCTGTGAAAGCTACTCCCCCTCAGGTATGAGTCATCCAGGCTTAAGCTGTCAGCCCTCCTGTCCTTGGATGGGTAATACTCCCTGTGCCACTGGGAGAGAGTGGAGGGCAGGCAGTGGTAATTCCTTTTCACTGTGAGTGGAGATGCATTCGTAATGTCTGTGTTTGCAGCTTGGACGTAGTTGCTGAAATGAGAATTGTGATTGCTGTGTGTACTTGCCTGGGTGGTGGTTTATGGTGGGTTTTCTTTTGTTGTTTACAAACTTGGAAGTCAGCTCTACCGTGTCCCTGTGACAGTGTTAAGTAGCAGCGTGTGACCCATGAGCCATGAAGCCCTGCAGAGAGGTCTGACAAAAACTCTCGTGTTTACAGGACATTCTCACTGATCTGTCAGCAGATTGTGAAGACTTGACACTGGAGGATGTTCTCGAGAATGGCTTTGTGCATAAGGTGTGTGCAGTCTGTAGCTGTTTTTAAATCATCTCAGCAATAAGAAAACTGTAAACACCTGAGATACTTTAGTTAAACAGAAGAGTATTCTCCCTGTGAGATGGATTGCACAAATTATTTCAGTGACTTGGTTGCATCAAATACTGCCTCTGGAACTGCGAGGTAGAATTTATAATCCTCTTGTCAGACTTGATGTCCTTATTAAACATACCAAAAGCGTTTTAACCATTACGTACAAGACCACTTGGTTATAACTAGACCTCTGTCAGGAGCATGTTGAAAGAGAAGACCAGCTTTGCAAAAAGAAAGTTGTTCTGTGATGGTGTTGTATTTGAAGTATACATGTGTTGCCCTTCAGATTAGATACACCCTTCTGTTCTAACTTTAAATGCTGTTTTATAGGGAATAACTCAAGCTGCAAATTACATCTATCAAAAGCTAATAAATGACGGAATTTTAAACCAGGCTTTCACAATTGCTCCAGTAAGTTACCTTCCAAATAATTTGGTTTGCCAGAAAAATTACACAAAGCTTTTTCCGTGTCTGTCTGTGTTTCAGCCTTCTCTTTCTGTCTATAGGAATATAAACTTGTGGTAGTTGGTCACAGTTTGGGTGGTGGAACAGCTTCTATATTGGCGATCATGCTCAGGAACTCTTTCCCAACATTAAGATGTTATGCCTTTTCTCCTCCAGGAGGACTGCTAAGGTAAGAGACTTTCGTTATTTGGTTCTGTGTCTAAGATGTAAAAATCTTCAAGACAGTTGACAAATACGTTAGATGATAACTATGGGCTTGACTGTTAAGAGTTTGTTTTACAATCTCCCCTAGAATTAGATTTGCTCCATCTTGAATTCCAGTCAAGTTTGGGGGGGAATATTAAAGAATGAATTATATCTAGTGATTTCTGTCAGATAGTATATTTAGAGTTTAAAATAAATGTTTTGGAAATAAAATGCTGTCTTGACTAGTCTAGCTTGGCTTGTTTGATATCCACACATACTGTTACCAGCCTTGGAGTTACTCTGTCATCTGTAGCAAGTAGATCTGAGAGCCTGCTGAAGAACTGACTGCACATGCTGCTGCTGTTGACACATATTTGTATTTTTGTTGAATGATAATGATCGTCATAAAAGTCAAGTGTTCATATCTCTATAGTGTATCTAAAGTGCTTTTTTTTTGCTTTTTTTTTTCTTTTCTAAGCAAATCACTTGCAGATTATACTAAGCACTTCATTGTTTCAGTCATTGTTGGAAAGGACCTTGTTGCAAGGTAAGATGGAAATGTTTTTAAATTGTTCTTTCAGGGCTGGGTTAGATTGCAGAGAATAGGAGGCTTTGCTTCACTTTGTTCTATGTGTGTTTAAACAGGCTAAGTATGCCCAACATGGAGGATTTAAAGAGGAGAATAGTGAGAATTGTGGCAAACTGCAACAGACCCAAGGTAACTACATGCAGTTCCTGGTTAAAAGTCAGTGGAATTGTTACCTGGGTTAACCCCCAGCTTTAATGAAGCAACAATTGGTGTATGTATTTTTGATCTTAACAGTGAGAGTCGCAGTCATGTTTTGGGACAAAAGTTTGTTTTTACTTCAGTGACATTTGTGTTGGTCTCTTACCCAATAAAGCTGTCTTGTTGGAAATTAAGATTCAACAGGACCTGGAAGATATCTGTGCGCAACATCCAAGACCTGAAATTACCTGTTTGCTAGTTTTGCTGATAAAGGAAACTATTTAAAAATTAAAATGGGGAAAAAAACCCAAACAAACAGCTAAAATTATGAAAAATCAGTAAGATTACTTACTTTAATAACCATTTAGTATCAGTAAGTAAACAAATTAGTGGTTTTACTTAAATTTTGCTGTCAGAATTCATTTGGAAAGCAAATATTTTTCTGTTATGGTATTAATTGCTTACCTCCTCTTATTGTTAGTGAGAAACACAGTTTTAGAAGTGCTGGAACAGTGTGGTGTCAGGCAAGATGACACTGGAGGTATGGAGGAGTGGCTTAAAGATTCAAAACTGCCATTTCTGAACAGCTCCAATTAAATCTGATGTACCTAGAACGTTTCCATGTAGTCCCAGGATGAGGAGTCATGTAGAGGGCCTGGGTGATGTTGTAAATACAGGGTAAGATAATGGACAGAAGTTGCAGGTGCAAGAAAACTTAAATCTGCAGAGCAGAATCCACACAGAGTAATTCAACTGGTAAAGATTGTCATGTTTTCTGTAGTGTTACTACAGACGTGGGTTAGATATCAGTGAAATAATAGATATTACCGTGGGGAGAATTCAGTAATGAGATTTTATCAAACAAAAAGTTTGGGGAGCATGTGCATATAGTAGTTTTTAATCTTTTCATTGTAATTTCAGATGTGTGTGCAAGCACACAACTGGAATAAGTTACTTGCAGAGATGCCAAACCTCAGTTCAATTGTTTTTCTTTCTGAATTCAGTACCAGATTTTGCTGCGTGGGTGTTGGTACGAAGTATTTGGAGGAGATCCGGATAACTTCCCAACGGAGCTGGATGGCAGAAACCAAGATGCCCTTACCCAGCCACTGCTGGCTGAGGAGAGTTTAATGGTTCATCGGTCACCTTCGTACAGTACCCTTGAGGATGAATCACACTTAAATTCACCACCTCAATATCCTCATCTGTATCTTCCTGGAAAGATTATCCATGTTGTAGAAGAATCCAGCTCCAGGAGGTAAGTAGAATAATGAACAGCACTGTCCTGTTTTCCCAGAATCTACTTAAAGCTGCTTCTCACTTTCAAAGTATGTTTCCAGCCCTGTGTTAAATCTGCATGCATCTCCAATGCCCATCTTTGGTTATTACACATTAGCCAGCTTTTCAGTTTTTATTCTGTGCCACTCAGCTTCTTTCTGTTTCACTCCGAGCCCTGGAAACTCTTTCTCTCTATGCCTGTGTGCCTTATTCTGCCCATACGTTGCATGTGCTCAAGGGATAATTTTAACCAGGACAACTGTGAAGCTCGGCTTTGGCACACTGCGGCTGCAGGTCTTGCAGTCTTACGTCCTGCTAGTAGTGAAGTGATAACAGCATACCTAGTTATTGAGTAATCACGTGAATATTGGTGATGAGAAAGAGGCAGATTATTGCCCCTAATACTGGTCCAGCCAGACTGGAGAGGTCCAGTTGCCCCATTAACTGGTGTGCCCATGCAGCCTCCTTTCCTGTCCTTTGCTGATTTTTTTGTGGACTCAGGAAGGTGAGACACAGACAGCAGAAAAGCTGAAACTGCTGGAAGGGTGAGAATTGCAGTTTTGTTGGGGGCAGTGTTGTGTTTAGGGGGGGTTTTTGTTTGTGTTTTGTTGGCTGTGGTTTTTTTGGACAAAGCAATGTGAAACAGCCCACAGGCAAGACAGTGCTTGTTTCATTCTGAAACAGAAATAAAAGCATCCGCAGCTTGCAGGAGACCATCTTGGGGGGTGGGGAATATAGATCTGTACTGTACAGACAAGGGAAGAAAAGTGCTGGAGAAGAAATCCATTTCTTTTCCTCCTGTTGAGTAGATTAGTATTTTATTTAAGTTTCACATCCTTAATATTTAACATTTTTGATACTGGTTTTGATACAAGTTATATACTTAACACCTATGACCAGGCACCTTTTCTCCATGGCTGCTCTTCTACTTTACTTTATTGAGTTCATTTCTTTTCCTTCATTTACTCCACAGCACAGCAATTAATCGTGTTTTTTTCTTAATGCACTGTTCTGTGAAATAAAATCCTGAATACATCGTATGTGCAGCACCAGATCTAGTGTCTGGTCTACTGCTACCACAGGGACTTATTCCCTGAATTTGACATTAACTGTGTGAAGGTGCAGCACTTAACCCTTCATCCCCCTTCGCTCAGACTGTGTCCGGTGGTTCTCGGAGCAGGATTATTTGATAGCTTCTTTGACTGTTACGGTGCAGTGTACCTGGGTGCCTTCAGGGACACTGAGCAGCAGCGTTTCCAGCTGTTTGTGGCAGGTTGGGCCTGTAGCTCCTTGGGCACCCACCTCCCCACCATGAGAAGGTTCTAATGCTGCCCCAGCGAGGTCCGCAGGCTCCAGGGTGTCCCAGGCTTGGCCTCAAGCACCAGTTCTGGCAGTCAGAGCTGTTGTATTTGCAGTGTGGTGGTGTTTTTTTCTAGGTGGTGCTCTTCAGATATTAAATATATGGCAAGATGGTCAAACGAAACAGTCTTCAGCAGCATTTTAATAAGTCCCAAGATGATAACAGACCACATGCCAGATGTTGTGCTCAAGGCTCTGGACAGTTTGTCTCAGGAACGTGGACTGTGTATTTCCTGTCAAACACGAGAATGTCACACCAATGTGGTATAACCACAGCTCAAAGCTGAGGTGTGGGGGTTTTTTTATTGCAGGTTTAAAGTATTCAGGACATGTTCCACTTAGGTAAGAAAGTGGATTTCAGTACTTTTCTCACATTGCATAAAATAAACAAGGGTCTTAATGCCCTTGCATCTGCAGTGACCTCATGCTGATTAAAGCACAGATTCTGCATTTATGCTGAAGGTTGAGCTTTCACAAAATGGAACAGCCTGCAGCCTTCCAGCTAAGCCTGTGTAAGCTGGTACACCAGAGCTGAGGCGCCAACCGAATACTTGCCCAAAGCAGGGGTGTGCATGAGGATGGCTTGGCTGATGCATTACAGCAGAGCCCTGTCAGACCTTAAAAAAATTACAATCCAGTTCTGCTTCAGTCACTTCACGCCATTGTCTGAGCAGCCTGTGCCTGACCTCGGCACAGCCCGGCAGGTGCGGTGTGAGCGGAGCGCCGGGAGCGTGACATGGCCTGAGAGGCTGGAGGGGTGAGTGCACCAGGGTGCGGCAGGAGGAGCGCGGGCCCCATGCAGGCCCCTAAGTGGGTGGGTCTGATTGAGTTCTGATTGATTGCACTATTTTTCTTACAGAGGGTGGTAGTTGGGGGGGGGTTGGGGGGAGGGCAGGGGGAGTGTTGTGGATAAATGCTGCTAGGATATACATGTGCAATATTCTTTAATCTACCTGTCTTTATATTTGTTGATCCACATGACTACTTTTACTGATTTTAAACTAAACTGAAACTACTTAATGAGAAGAAAAAAAATTACTTTGTTCATGCCCTGGCATCGCCTTATTCACAAGCTCTAACTACCATGAGTACTGATCTAATTGTCCCAAAATTATTTAACCAGTTTTACTGATTTTTAAAAAAATGGATTCCTTGTTTCTAGTGTGCAGCTATTTTGGCCGTTTTTTTTGAAAGCTCAGCAGCATTTCTTATTAAAAAAAAATTGATAGAAATACATAAAAGTACTATGATATAGTTGAGAATAACTGTGTGGATGTTCCTGCTGTGATACTTAATATGGAAACAAAATAAAATGCACTCTAAAAAACCTGTCTTTATTATTCTCAGGCATGCTGGGTGTGACAAAACTCAGCGGTTTGTAGCTGTTCAAAGGGCCAGCGGCTGTGCACCCCTGGTGAAGGCCCAGCACCAGCTCCCTCCCTGAGGCAGCAGCAGGGAGTCACCCACCCTGTCCTGCAGCTCCCCCGGAGCTAACCTCTATAGCATGCCTCTACCTTTAAAAGGCTAAAACCAGAGACATTTAATCCCATACTTCAACCGAGCCATCACCTTACAAGCAGTTAAAGGAAGGAGTTTTAGAGGAAAATATAACATTGTGAAACAGGTTTTTTTCCCTGGTTGGCAGCAGCTTTAAAGCATTGTATCAGCTAGTAACAACTCTAATGCAAGGCCTCTGGAGAAACGTTGCCAAAAGTACCATATTTAATTGTGGTTCTTAACATGAAGGCATCACTGAAAGCAGCTGGGGTTAGCACACATGGCCCAAGGAGAGCCCTACACCACCATGCTGTTGGTACCAGAAGAAGATTGAGGGTGGTACAAGAATGAGAACACTTGCTCAGAAACTCAAACATTACCACACATGTGATTCAAGGATTTATTAAGTCATACATGCAAAACATACTGCTAATTGCATTAGCAAAAGATCAATGTAAAAACTTCACAATTTTGCAACTTTTACTTTTAAATTTTGCTTTAGTGGTTGAAAGGGTGTAGTTCAACACTGTATTCCTGCCAGTTTAGAATGTACAGAACATTAGCACAAATTTACGGAACCTCACAGACCCAAGTTACCATTACTCAATCTATGCTGCACGTGTACATGGAGTGACAAACAACACTTGTCTGCGTTAGTAATGTTACAGTGGTGAGGAGATCTGGCAAATAGTGATAGTATAAAGGTTTAAAATACAAAAATTACTAAATGTGTAAAGCTGCTTCACATGATTTTTACACCTAGTTAATAGACTAAAAGCTCCTCAGAAAGCATATAACTTATTGGGTCTGAAAAAAACAGGAAATGAGGATATGCCTTAACATTCTACTCTACAAAAAAAAAAAGCAATTTTCTATCATCTGAAAGGTTTTAAAATACGAGTTATATTGCTCAGTAAAAAGAGATTCTACAAGAAAAGCATTTACTACACAACAGTTGTGGGAATGACTGGTTCAGAATTGTACCTACATGAATGCCCTGCTTGAAATCCAAAGGAATTTACCTGTGAACACCAACCTCTCTTCCACTACTGCACCGCTAGGAAAATGGTTGTCGATTTTAACCTGCACTAAAAGTCAATTCAGTTTCAACTACCCTGGCAGTGGCGTGCAAGTCACCTGTACAGTGTCGAAGTCCTGTCTGGCACCGTCATGGGATCCAACCCCAGCTTTCCGCTATCCATCACAACACAATGCTGTCAAAAGGACTAGATACACTTCAGTAAGAATAGTTATTTATTTTTTAAATCACAGCAGCAAGAACTAGATTGCAACCAAGCCCTTACCAATGATAAAGCATTTTACACTGTGACTCAAGGGTGTCAGTCATTGTCAAAGATTTAGGTTTGATATACAATGCTGTGCAATGGCTGTGGGGTGAGAAAACATTTAATAATAAAACACATTAGAGTGCAGTGTTTTGCTAATTATACGGTACTGTTACTTACTGTGAAAAACTAGAAAGTGTTTCTGCATTTCCTACCAGAAATTAGAGTCATCTTCAAGAATCTTTAAAAAACAGTTTAGTGCTTAGTGTTCGTAGCACAACAATGCAACTTAGTTCAGCAGATAGTTTGGCAACACTTAATTGAGCAAGAAGAGGATTTTAAAAATAAGGCTTTACATAAGTTTGTCTTTTCAGGAATTTGCTTTTAGAAGAATGCAAGTTAACTTTCATACTTTAAACAAATGAAACCATGAAATTGTTGATTGATTCAAGACTTTATGGAAGAGAACTAATTTATAACAGAAAAACTTGGCATTGAGTGTGAATGCTCCATTGTTCTGAGCAAAGCACAGGGTTTGGAGTGGGGTGGGGGAGGGTAACGTTTACAGCAGCAGACATTTTCTCTTCCTCTTCTTTACAGGAGGGGGGCACAGAACTGCTCGAATAGCTTCATCAAACACTGTCTTGAGGCCTCGCTGCGTAAGTGCCGAGCATTCTAGGTATTTCACTGCACCTGTGGAGAGCAAAAAGGCAATTACAAAGCAGTTTTCCACAATTACAGCAGCACTGCTTCTAGCTAACTCCACAACAAAAGCCAAGTATTTATTTTGATCAAGGTACAACGTCTTGCACAAACAAAATTTAGTTCAAGTCAACAGTAACCCCGCTGCCATCATACCGATCTCTTTTGCCATGGCAAGGCCTTGGGGGTAGGTGATAGGAGTCAGCTTCTTCTCCTTCAGTTTTTCAATAGTGTCCTTATCATCCCGGAGATCAAGTTTGGTACCCACTAAAATGATGGGGGTGTTGGGGCAATGGTGCCGCACCTCAGGATACCACTGCAAAAAAACAGCATCGGGGGGGGGGGGGGGGGGAGCAGATTTCCACAGCGTTACGGCTGAAAGGCGAGCAACATTTTCCAGAGTCAAACAGTCAAAAAGGGCAAGACCCCGTTCAGGCAGTATTAGAGAAGAGCATAACATTGCAACACATTTTTAATGAAGCCAACAGCTATTTCCATATACTCTAAAAATTCACCCTAGTAAGGGCTGTATTTCCTCCACACACGAGAAGAACCCTGGTCTGCACTTGCCTCACCCACGGAGGTGACCACCTCTCATGAAGTCTCCCAGGTGCCGTACAGCTCACTTGTCCAAGGACATGAAAGACTGCGACAGCAGCAGAGCATGTGCTCCAATGCTGACTGGTGTGTGAAACAAGTAGCAACGTGATTTTTATATGCATTTGCTCTACAATATTTTTCTTTAAATTGCATTAAAAGGAAGGTTCCTGCTTGTGATCTTAGCACCTTGTTGACTGAAAACGACTTGTTATCCCATCAGTGGGTATCAAGGAACAATTCACTGAGTGTTTCATGTACCCTGAACGTCCATAAATCAAAAGTCAGGCAAATGGATTTCTGCCTTTTCAAACTACATTTCACATTACCTACCAAAAAATAAATATATATAACTTAAAAAAAAAGCCTAATGTTTTCCACACACTTGCTATAAAGTAAGCACTATGTTGAACACTTAGAAATAAAGCGATACCAGCTTGTACTTACCTTAGCACGGACATTTTCGAAGGAAGCAGGACTCACAAGGGAAAAGCAGATTAAGAAGACGTCCTACAAAACAAGTTGATAGAAGTTAACCCAGAGCAACCTTTACAAAAATCTCACTCCTCTGAAAAGGCTATTTAATAACACCAGCACCTATATCACACTTGCAAAAGGCAAGGTCAGCAGTGCAGCTACACCTGATGGTTGGAGGTGGCTTTCCCAGAGGGAAATCCCTCCCCAGGCAGCTACAAGCAAACACAAAGGGTGGGAGGAGCCAACAAACAGACTGTAATCAAGTTTATAATCAGCTATTGCAGTAGCCAGCAACTAAAATGCTAATACCATTGCACTGCAAGCTTTTTTTCCCCCAGAATGTAATTTCTTCTCCCTCACTGACATTCAAAAGAACCCGAAACACCCAACACTGCAGATCCTTGAGTGGATGACAAAGTGAATGACAAGTTGTTACTGGCCTCCAAACTGAGGCTGGATGCTCTTGGCAGAACTAAGCAATTTAAGCTCTGAAAGACATGTAACTCAGTGTTACTGTTAGCACCAATCTTTAAAATATTAATATCCTATTCATATACTAGTCTAAAGTAGTCTTGAACTGCAAAGTATACAGTATGAAATTTTAAAAAAAATATTATTTCTACAATATGCCCAAATCAGAAGAATCTTGCAGAACTTTCACTTCTACTGAATGTCAGTATAAAGAGACTTCAGCATTTTTCTATAAATTAGGATTGAGAAGGGTATTAAAAGCCTCGAAGCTGCTTCCCTTTCTACATAATGAGGAAACAGAGAGAGAAAGGCGTGTGTTCAGGGATCTTACTCGTCTCACTTTACAGCTGAAGGGGAAAGATAGTAAGTAAACACAGGTAACAACATTTTAGAGCACGTGTTTCCACCAACTGCTGTACAGTATACACTTCAACAAACAATAAGCTTTATACATGGCACACTGTAGTCTACAAGCATTCAGAATAACCACAGAATTCATTTTCTCTAAAATGATGAAGACTGTAATCTCTCTGTATGACCCCAAACTCAATAAGCATCTCACACAAGCCCAACTTTCCCCAACCTACCTCTGCATCCGTACTTATTCCAGTATCAAATGTGTTAAAGAATCAGGCACTGAAGAATGTTAGTTGATTGTGCTGCATTTCAAGGCATTTTGTTAGGTCAGCATCTGACATCTGCACTGCTAAGCACTTGCAACCCAGTTGTTCATGCATCACCCCAACAAGTTTCTGTAGCAGCATCCCAGAAGAAGAAAGAAACAACATCAAATCATGTGATACTATGGCCACTACTTCTGTTTTCCAATTCTGCAGGTTTGTGGTGACTGAAGTTCTGCACGTTATGCAGACTCGCTCCTTTACTAGCTCCAGAGATCAAAAAATTCAGTGTAACTATGAGGAATTATTTGAAGATTTCACATGTCTTGCACACTACCAATCTTAGTAAGTAGGACAAAAAGCTATTTATTTGCAATAAAAGGTTTAGTCTTAGCAACTCATATGAAGAGATTTGGTAACAGTTCTCAGATCCAGCAATTTGGTAGTTCCAAGAAAAGTAGCTGTTTAAAAAAAAAAAAATAGGGGCCAATTTATCACTATCATAAGCAAGACAAGATGACAGAACTTGGAACTGAAGTTTATTTAAAGTTTTACATACGGCAATAGGTTGATCTGTCAGACTGGAAGATACATTCTTACCATTGGTTCCTCCAACCTAGTAACAGTAGGAGATAAAGTTACTCCTAAAGTGGAATAAGGGAAAACGTTCTCTCAGTCAGCAATCTGTGCTCACAAATACTCACAACATGGCCTTTCTTCTCAAGAGAGATGCTGCCCTGTAATTCAGCACAACCAGCTACCTGCATCCCAAACAAAATTTAAATTTGCCGCTAAACCTGCAAATGTCTGGCTGCACTGTCAGAGGGAACTTGCCAGAGCAGATCTCATGAAAAGCATCATCCTAGCTTTTCTTTTTGGTTTGGTCTCTTGAGGAAACAAAGTTAGCCACCTTTTCTGTCCCAGCTTCTTCTTTCCCCAAGTATTCTGAAATACTGGTACATTTTAAATACATTCAGAAGAAGGTATTAAATTCCTGTACATTTTAAGGAAAAAAATAAAAAGAGTAAGGGAAAAAGATACAAATTAATGCCCCCCTTATAGCAAAATCCTTACTGTGAAGTTAACAGCTGTTGAACTGGTGAGTGGCTAAACAAGATACAGCCACTGGCCAAGTAATCAACAATACCTGCTTTCACCTTGCCCAGAACCCAGTTCAGGTGCCCATACAGGGAACCAAGGGGCCACAAGAACATGAGGGGCGAGTTGTAAACAGCACAGTGAAGGAAGGGGGAGGCTGAATGCACATCCTAAAAAAAGTCAGGCTTCATCAGCTCCACTGTTCTCTTCCTCTGTGCTTTTCGTTAGTTTTGTAGGGTTTTTTGTCCCCTGAGTGATGATGAATCTTACATATTGCACAAGTCTAAAATCTGAAGACTGGTTGATAAGTTCAAGACTTACCACCCTGTTCCAATATCTGCTGTAAAAACCAATCCAAATAACGGAAAGTACTTCAAACCTTTACTTCACAGTTATATGCGCTTGTACAGAAGAGACTTTTTTCCCCAAAAGTATGCTCAGATTGACAGGGATTCTTCTGCAGTCTATCAGAAAGCCACAGTTATTTTAGCAGGCTGAAGACATGCACATGCATTCTGTCCCATTGTCAGAGGAGGAACATTATTCTCCCTTACAACTCTTTCTCACATTACTGAAAAATCTTTCAGCATACTTTTTTCTACCCTGAGATACTTTTTTGAAAATATTTTTATGATGTCAGGCAAAGCATAATTTAAGTACCCTATAAATATCTAAGCATTAGAGAAAAATTAGATTTCCACTGTGTCTCTTCCTAGGAAAGGCAGGTATTTCTGGCATTTCTATTAGAGTTGCCTACAACTGGCCAGTTCATATCCATCGTGGGTATCATAACTGATAGGATAGCCTAAGTGTAAGAGTTAGCAAGCAGCGAATTAAGGAAAATTGTGAATTAAGAGAGTTTACTAAAAAAAAGCACCAGAGTTCATTAAGTTAAGATTCACATTATTCAAGAGAGCAGTTACACTGTAGAAAACCCGGAACAATTTTGTATTTTACATTATTAGCATTGAATATATATTTGACATCTAACAACAACAATAATCAATGCCAAAAAACTCTGCAAATCACCACCTTTCTTTACCTACAGCACAGCTCCACCAGATAAAAATAACTGCTCTGAAGAGACTAGAAAACCAGACTCTACAAAGATTAACTGTAGCTGAAGTCACACTGGAAAGAAAAGAGCAGATTATTTCAGCATTTTCCTTATACAAAGAAAGATGCAGCACACAGACAGGACTTAACCAGTTGCAAACATGGAAGACAGAAGCATGTTTGTATTGATGTTATAGCACAAACTACAATAAGTAATAAAACAGCCACAGGCTTAAGTATATTTGTAAGCTCCAATGTAGCCTCTGTCAATACCAATAATATCTTCATTCAGTACTGCCTCTCTCCCATTTAGAACATCTTCAGAGAGACTAAACAATACCAAGTGCTTAGCAGTGACAGTGTCAGGTTGCAGCCAGACAGCACGCCTCAAAACAAAAACAAGCCCCACTTTTGGCAGGCATGCTAAACTTAAAATCAATGGACTAGCTGATGGAACTGTTCACCGAGGGTTTTTTGGTTTTGTTTTGGGTCTTTGAGTGTTTGTTTCTTGTTTTAAATCAAGCATTCTAGTTGATTCTGAGGCTGCAGCTACACAAAATCCAACATGTATCAGTGCACTCAAATACACAAGCATGCAAATTTTATCATCCGTGCAACTGTACACACGTCAAGGATTACAATATTACAGCTACAGCATGTAGGATGAAGGAAGGTAGCTTGCAACAAGTCACTGTTACTAATAAATACAACTCCAGATTGGACAACATTGGCCTTGTGTTCAAAAAGAAAAAACATTTATATTCGACAAAGCTATACAGATTCTTTCTAGTTTCACACTGTAGTTCTTACTGTTTGCGGATAGGAGAGTGGACGTAGTCTGTCATAGTCCTCTTGACCAGCTGTATCCCACAAACCCAGATTGACTGGTTTTCCATCAACCATTACATTAGCAGAGTAGTTGTCAAAACTATAAAATAAAAAATTAGCTGCATTAGCTTGCAGTAAAATGGGGCACCCAAGGACTTTTTCTTACAGAGTCCTAATTGCAAACTACAAAAGGAAACATTTTTATTGCATCCTCCTGCTCCCCAGAAACAGTAAAGCTGTTATTTAAATACTGAGCCTTGTATGGGGAAATGGAAGGAAAAAATATACACAACAGACTTGGTCCAGTCTGAATAGAAGTCATCTTTTTCATTCCTCTTCCAAAGGAAGCGCTGCTCTCAGAGTACAGGAAAGCAGGTGATGCACTTAGCTAACACTTTCCAGTCAGCGGAACATTCAGTAAATTAATGTTTCATTTGGTAAGATTTTGAACAGCAGATACATGAGCAACACCAAGGAATCCATAAGGACAACAGTAGGTAAGAAAAAAGCCACAACTTATTAAACCTGCTAATCAAAACCCCCTCCAATGAAATAGTAAAGTTAATAACCAGAGGCCAGTAGAGGCGTGATTTTTACCTCATTACTACTGCAGGTGCAAAGGTTTTAATGACTTGTTGAGACTAAACTAAGTTCACTGGAAACACAGGCATACTGTAATGCGAAAACATGAATTTAAGGCAAAAAAAAAAAAAGGAAATGAGTAATTAAGACAACAAGCCCTTGGGAAGGTAACTAACATCATCTGTAAATCACATTAGAATTTGTTATCTGAAAATGTCATCAATACTTACAGAGAGCAAGATAGCCAGATAAATATAGACACATCCAAAAAGAGCAAGGAAGCTGCTCACGTATAAAACACTTCCCCCCAACAGGCCCTCAAAAAGAGAACTATGCTAATACTGATACTGACAAATCCTTACATGCAGGAAAGTGGGAAGCACCAAAATAAATGAATCCCCACGATCATGTCTGAGGAGCTACAGAGCTCTGCCTGGCTTAGCACAGGATTGGCAGTAGCACAAAAAGCAGAAGGAACAAAAGAAAAATCTCTAGTCACATAAACCAACTATTTATGACTACAATATGATGTTTTACAACACGTTCAGCCTTGGGACTGCCTATTATGACTGATATTAAAGACAGAAATAACACATTATATTAAAAGAGAACAGCATCTGATAAAATGTTAGTAAATGCTAGTCCCTAATAAACTAGGCCTAGAGGGCAGAGAGAGGCTAAACCGATGGAGTGTGAACAAGCACAGGTATGACTGTGCTAAGCAGTAAAAGCCCAAATTGTTTCTCATTACACACACCTAGATACTCAGGTAAACATTTAAGGTGAAAGTGAGGGGTGCTTGCAGCCAATTCAAACAATTCAAATAAGAAATATGGAACAGCAGTAAGTAGTGAATTTAACATAAGAAAGTTTTTAGGATTTTTTAAGTACTTACACAGTGGGTATATATTCTCCAGGAAATGCATTGGTTGTGTAACTGATGAGTAGGCATGTTTTACCTACAGCACTGTAAAAAGAGAAACTTCACAGTTAAAAAACATTCATCTTGAATAATGAGAAATAATATTCCTTTTAGGGAAGAAGACCGATTACATCCAGTCATTGAAGGAACAATTGAGTGTCAGTAATCACTACTGTCTAGGAAAAGAGCTAATGGACTGCAGCCTTGAGATTACTGGCAATGAAAACACACCTCAAACAGCCATTCTAAGAACTGGTAAATTACCAAATTTTGTTAATCTTTAGACAGAAACACCCACAAGTCTTAATAAGACTACTAACATCTGCTAGTCACCTGACTGAATACTCATCAAGGCAGCCTTACTCAAACTCTATGAAATTAAAAAAAAAAAAAAAAAAAAAAAAAACAAAAACTGAAACGTATTTCCAAATACTCTTTACACAGTTCCAAAACTATTATCTTTTCCAGAAAATGGTATACTTTCACATAAGTTGTTTGAAAAAGCTTGAAAAGTATAATTTCTCAACACATTGTTCCTTTTGAGTATTTAAAGAAAATATACAGATAATACAATATTTACTGCTAATGTAAAATGAATCCCTGCATGTATTCATCAACCATTCAAACATCTCATAAACAGATTTATAGATTACATTCCAGTACTGGAGAACTTGGAAGATCAAACCTTTCCCTGCAGATCTAATTCTGAACAGCCTCACACAGGGCCAGGACAAGGTTCTGCTCCAGGTCTCGTTCAGAACTGTGGCAGACAGCTCTTTTCCTCTCCACCCTCCTTCCCACATCTTATCAAGGGGCAAACGTTAGATTGATACCACCATTGTATTTGTTACACTTTCAATTTAAAGGGTTGGAAAACTTGAAATTTGACCATATTTCTTTTTTAAAATAGGCTCTGCAAAGAGTGTTTCTGACACTGCAGACTGGTTCACATGCTGGCTTCTCACCGGAGAAGTGAGAAATTCCAGAGATGAGTGTGCAACTAGTTCCTCAAAAGCAGTAACTCCCAGACAGCCTCACAGTCCTCCTCCCAACCACTCAGACAGACAAACCCCCATGCAAGGAAAACTGCATTGTCTTGCAGATGTTTTATCACTACAATGATTTGCTCCAAGCAAGCCAGCAGTAACTTTGAAACCTTACTGTACTTACACATATAATCTTGCAATTAGTATTAGGTTTGACTCATAAACCTCCTGAATTAAATCTTTCACAAGCTGAAGGAACTTAAAGTTTTAGTCTAGAACTATAGTTAATATAAAAAAAAAAAAAAAAACAAAAAACACAAACCAAACGCTATTGCTAAAAATACCCCATTATCCTTTAGCTGCTGCAGAATAGAAAAATAAGTGACTCACAGAAACATGCTTTAGTCAAAGGCTTACTAGCTCTCCAGCTGCAAACATTTTGAGGCATTCATATCTGAATTTCACTATGTATCTTCCACTTAAATCATTACATTTCTTTTCCTGCTTTAGAAGCATGTGGACTCTCCCCTCACTGACCAAAGACAGTCTTCAAAACATTATTTAAAATCCTTTAACACTCAATATAAACCAACCAGCCTTACCTAGTGACTCACAATTTAAGGCAGGTTAAGTAAATTTGAGTTTTGTCACAACCATGTTACCTTGTCTGTTGTAGCTCAAGCTGTAATAAATCTCTCCATTAAACTTCAAGCAGTTCCACACTGCATTAGCTCAAGAAGTTATTTGATAGCAGCATCTGACACCATTACCTTAAATGCCTGAGCTACGAAACAGTTGCTTCAGTGTGCAAAATTATCTAGGATTTTATCCTACATGCCCATTTTTTAATTGTAATTTTATGTTTTTGAGCTGACACCTAGCATAACATCCCATCTGCTGCAACTCTCTCTGATCATACTATGCAGTTTACCACACTGCTTTTCACATCTGCTTCTAAGGAAACAAGATACCAGCTCCTTGCACAGTCTGAGATTTATTTCTTTTTCCTTTCAGCATGCACTCTTACCAAGCTGTAACAACAAAAAAGGGGACATTTAATTCTGTTTTGGTAAGTACAACCTGTGAACATTTTTTCTGTAGTAACAGGCCTGAGATATACTTGTGGTCAAAAGCAGGAGAGGTTTTACCTTTCAAAAACTTCTGTGGGAAAGAATCAGGGATCAGTATGACAACACAGCTAGCTATTTTAACAGCTGTCAAAAGAGGAGATTCCCATCTTATCTCTTGCACTAGCACTCACTGACTCTGTAACAAGCCAGAACAAGGACATGGGAAAGCTCTTCACTCCACCTCCCCCATTAGGACAACTTGCCATTTTAGCTCCCTGAGCTATCAGTTAGATCAGTTTGAATATATTGCTGAATTGCACTCACAACACTAAAGCAGGCTACACTGGTCCAGCTTATAAAGGACAAACGTGAAAACCTTCAAAACACTGAGAGGAGCAAAAGCCAGCTCTGTGGGAAATTTCTTGAGGTGCAGAGGCTATGTGTTCGCATGCTTCCAGAACCTGTTTGGTCTGATGCTTCCTTTTCCAGTAAGTTTGTTACAGGTAATTTAAGCTTCTAACAAATTAATGTTGATCTCAACTTTTTCAGCAGTGGATCAAGAACTTTTCTCTGCACCCAGGCTCATTTCCTCACCTTGCACCGAAACTGGTGAGTCTGCTCTGGCTAATCAAAACAGCACAGGAAGGAGGTGGTGAGAGATTTCATTCCAAGCTTAGAAGTGCCTGTAGTGTGTTTCTGCAGCACCAATCAGCCAGAGTCATTTAAACAAGAAAAAACACGTTCAACCACCCGGTTTCAGACTTGCTCCGTCTTGGATTCCTGCCTTCCTTGCTTTTGGCACACTGCCCTACAAATCAGATCATTATGGTCACCAGTCTTAAAAATAAACACTAATGCCTACCTTTATAAATAAAGTACATCCTCTAAGTACTTTATCAACTTTTTTAGACTTCTAACTTCTGTATTAAAGCAACTCCCCCAAAGAGAATTCTGTTTGGCAAAATATAAAACCTTTCACATAAAGGCTGAAAATAACACCAAACCAAGATTAGTCATAACAAGATTTCTAGCAACTACTTAATCATAGCTCTGTCCACCCACTATTACATAATGAAACTAGTAACATTTGACTGTAATTAAAAATACAGCCTACAGAAATCCAGCGTTTTAACCACTTAACAACACATGAAGGACTTAAAAAAGACATCACTGAGTCCCTTATTGCTTCCAGGTGCCATCCAGGAAATCAGTGTATTTCGGTAACCACATATGTATTAATTTTTGAAAACAAAACATGTCATCTCCATCCTGGCCTTATTTACTCTAACAAGTTTTATGCAGTTTCCCTACTGTGTTATTGCTGCTTGGAGCCACGTTACACGGCATGTACCAAAAAAGCCATTGGAGGACTTGCACCAGCATTTCTTCCACTCTAAAGGCATGGAAGCTACACAGATGGTTGAGAGTCTCCTGCTTTCCTGCAACTGAAAAGTAATTGTGGGAATTTAGTTCCCATTTGCAGCCATAGTAATAGAGGCCAGCTGAAGTGCTTGCTGGTTTAATTCCGGAAGCACCAATATCTGCAAACAGGTGGCAGCCTTCATAAAAAGCTCTGATTATGTAATTTCTTTCTCTCACTGATCCGTATGAACTACCTCCCTAGCAGACATGATGCACGACAGCCCAGGTCTTCACTCAAACATTAAACAGTAGCTGAGATTTCTCTAGTACCATACTCAGATCAAAAGTTCAGTATTTTTGCTATAGTAGGTTTAGCTACATACGGCCCTGCCAGATCAGCTGTTTTTACTCAGTATGACACACCCTGTCCCAAATACACTGTTCAGTACCTACAATACTACTACATCTTTTTAAACTTTAAAGGACCAGTAACACAAGTTACTAAATTTCAAGTCACTGCACTCTACAGATTGCATTGGTGGGACCTAAGGTGTTCAGCAACTTACACAAACACTGCACTATGCTCAAGGAGCTCATTTTCCCACCCCACTCCCTTTCTTGACAAGCTATCAAATCAACTACAGCATGGCTTTACAAGCTAAGGCTTCAAATTAAGCAGAATTCAAAACAGGAACTCTTATTTCACTGCTCTTGTTGCTACAGTACTACTAAAATTTAAAATGCCTACAAAAGAGCATGAAGTGCGACCATTTCTGTGGCATCTAGTCATCATTTCTCCAAAATGCTTAACTTCCGCTAACACTACACGACATCGCTGCAGATTTCATACCACTTAACAGCTGCCTTTTTGGAGTGAAAACAAAAGTTGCCAAAAATAACTTAAACCAATGCTTTTTCTCAAGTGTCAATCAACAGCAATTCTTGCAGTTACTGGAGTGCTCTTCATCTGTCCTGCACATTCCTACTCCTCAGTATCATCAAGAAGTCAAAGCAATAGTTGCCGTTTATTTTTCCCCAAACAATTCTCACAGTGAAGAAAAAAACAAAGGGCAGAACAGCACAACTAGCATAGTTCTAGTCAAATTAGTTGTCTAAACAGAATCTAGTCAAAGCTCTAAGAACAAACATGAGTTACATATGAGAAACACCCTACTCGTTTACAAATTAAAAAACCAACAATCACACAGGCACTTCTACAGCTTTATTTTGTACTTAGCCGATATTTGCGGAGGGTACATAAAACAATACCCAAGTTTTATATTGCATAAGCAGATCTTTAACCTGCATTGTTTTACAGAAACACTAAAACTTTAGCCTTATCTAAGCCAAACATTTCACCTTTCCTAGAATATCTGTAATGCTTTAACTTTTGAAGAAGCAGTACAGCACAGAGAAACACAAATATTAAGTATTTTTAAAAAACCCTGAATGGAGAATGTTATAAAGCTACCAAAAATGAGTAACAGTACCTGAACGAAACCTTAGGAGAGATTTGTTTCTAACTAAGGAGGAAGGAAAACATATTAAACTACTGTACTTTGTTCAGACATACATACAAAATTCAGGTAGAATTACACCACTGTCATTTCCAAAACAGAGAGCAATAAACTCATTCAGAAGTGGGGTGGTTTACAAAGCAAATGTCGAAAAGAACTGTTTTGTTGAATGAATTACTAACCATTATGCAGTTTGTCTGTGCTGAGTTCTCAAATCTAGCAGAGGAAGTAGACGGAACTTTTTTCCCCACCCAAACATGATGCATTGCATTTATTTACAGCATTGCCACAGTTCAGTTGAATTAAAATAAAAAGATGTAATAGAAAAGCAAATTGGTTGGGTTTAAAATCAATACAACCAAAAGGATAGTTCATAGTTATCCTGTCGAACATCAAATAATTACATTATTATGAAAAGCCTTCATGGGTCAAGATACCACTTTCATGTTCCTATTGCTCAAGATCTTACACAGCAAGTCAAAACAAATTTGTCACACAGAGTAATTTTATCTTTCAACCCTACTTAGCTGCCTTTTTAGGTGTTCTACATCTTAAAAAACAAGAAAACCCCACACACATATAACCTGAAGATTAAGCCACCATGTGAAATTACAGACAGTGGCAAAACCATTTAGCTACACTTCACTCCTCTGTCATCTACAGAAGTTTGCTGTGATACCAATTACGCTCAGCCTACACTGGGATTTTTGTTTTTCCTGAGGGGGAAAAAAAGCCTCTCAAGCTGCATAAAACAAGTCTTGTTTTCCAGCTGGCCTGTGCTGTTCCCCTGAGTTCTGACATCCAGTAAGAGAACTAATGCCTCCGAGTTGATGGGAACAGCATCATGGAGAATATTCAAAAGTGGCAAACACACAAACTCTTTCCCCACCACAATTCCTGAATTCCTCACACTGAAACTCAACACCTAAACTTAAGAGTTAACTCCATTCTAGAAAGCATCCTCAAGTTGTTTCACTTAGAAGTAATACCACACTAGAATGCTGTAGGTGTAACTGTTCTTTACAGGCAAGTATATTGTTAATTATTTGTATTTCAAGAGCTTTCTCAGTATCCTTTAGACAAGAACCTTACAAGAACAGATGCACGCATGCAGAAAAACAGTCTCTGCTCACAAGCATTTATGATCCACTTAGAGTTTAGCACATTTCACTTAGTTTTACTGTGAGAATCAGATGTCAAAAAGTAAGCTACAAACAGTAATAAGAAATGTTTGTTATTTTCTCAAACCATATTTCAAATCAATATTACATTTTTCATATCACTAAAATCACTGTACTTTTTTTTCTTAAAAATACCCTTTGATTACCTCGGTGTGTATAGTGCTACCTGAAACTCCGGGAACACGAGACAGCTCCAGGGTGAGCCGGGAGAAGCTGCCCACCCCTACCCGACGCGCCCACTCTCCTGTACCACGGCAGGCGAGAGCCACTTCTGCCAGCACGAATACGAATTATTCGGCCACCACTGCAGCACCTACGCCCGCAGCACCTTCCCCAGCAGCAACGCGGGGCTCGGGGAAGGAGCCAGAACCGGAGACACCCACCGCTTACCAACACCCCTGCAGAAGCCCGGCTCCCCGCTCCCCCGGCAGCCACCATTTGCTCGCAGCAGTCAGCGCCTTGCCCCACGCTTCCCTCCCCTCCCCCGCCACCAGCAGGAAGCCGCGGCCGCCACCCACCACCCCCCGCCTCGGCGCGGACCCCCCCGGCCCCGCCGAGCCCCCGCACCCCTCACCCCTCGGGGGCAGCAGGGCCGCGCCTGGGCCCCGCGGCGGAGGCGAACGCAACTTGTGGCGGTGTCCGGGCGGCCCACGCCGCTCTCCGCCCCACGGGCAAAAACCCTCATCTCTCCCCCTCCACCCCCTTCGGTGGCCGACGAAGCTCCTCACGGCGAGGGCCCGGCCGAAGGGTCCCCTCAGACTCACCCGTCGCCCACCACCACACACTTGATGGCCTGCATCGGGGCTGCGCCGCGGCGGCGGGTCCTGCTGCGGAGCGGGGCGAGGAAGGCCGCACAAGAAGGGAGCGGGCGGCGGTCTCCGCACCAGGTCGCGGCCGCCTCCGCCCTGTGCCGGGGAGCGGGGATGAGGCAGCGGCCACCACCCAAGGCGGGGAGAGGGAGGACTGCGGGGAAACAGGAAGCGGCCGCTCCACTCACATCCGGCCGGGCTGCGCTCGGCCCCCGCCGCCCCGCCTCCGGGCCCGCGCGGCGACACCCCGCCCGCACGGGGAGCCGCTGCGGCGCCGAGCGAGCTTCGGGCGGCTTCGGCACCGCTCGGCTGTCTCCGTGGAGCCGGGGGGGGGCGGCGGGCGGCGGCGCTTCCTGCCGCGCAGGGCGGCCGCCATGCTTGTGCTGGTCTCCCGCTCCCCGCCGCCTCTCTTCTCTTCAGCACCGGGGAGGCCCCCGGGGTGTTCCCTTTTTTATTTTTTTCCGCTTTAATCAGTCAGCGCCCTAGTGAAATGTGATGCCATGCGCTGGTACATGCTGCTGGCGCTGTGAGCAGGGCTGGTGACGGCGCGCAGGCCGCAGGGAAGCCACCTGTGCGGCGGGCGGTCGGCCGGGTCCCGGTTCCAGCGGCAGTTACGGACACGAGCCGGGGCACCGTCCCACGCTAACCCTGTCCACCACCTCGCTGGTGACGCACTGACCTGCCAAGTCATGACAAACCCCTCTCAAACAAAAAGCTGCATTCCGACACCGGTGTGGATCCTGCCTTTCAGTTCCAGCTGCCTGACACAATGCTAGCACCCACCCGTTAACAGGACATCACGCACCAGTCTAGTTCTTCACATCTCGGGAAGCATGTTAGTGTGAAATTATGTTTGCCCTACAGACTGACTGAGTGGATGTAACTCCAGTAAATCCAGTTACTCCAGAGACGACCTGCGACACTCCTGGTGTGCCACTGTGGGCAGGTACCCATTTTCCCCAGCCAGCCACCCGCCGTGGGACGGTGCCTCTCGCTCTGCGCCGGCACAGTGTGTGGCCAGAACGGTTCCCTTCATCAATGGATCCTCAGGCTGCCCTCCCTCCACCTGGCGTGCTATGACACGAATTAGCTCTGCTGCCAAGCTTTAGACCAGATCAGCACACAGTCAGTCTTCACAAGATGGGACAGCCCAGGGACTGTCAGGCTACACAGAGTCTTGAGTTTCTTTTTTCCTGCAGACAAACCACTTATTTTCAGGAAATATCAAAGTAAAAGTCAGGCAGAGCAGGTCCAATGATCCCAGAGGTCTTTTAATTTCTACAATTAGTTCTTGCCATAGTTCTACTTGGCAGAGAAGCTGCTGGTTGGACTGATCACATCACCTCTATTCCCTTTGTTTGCATTCCCATCCATTCCTCAAAGAAAGTACAGGGAAAGGGCCCATGCACACGCTGCTTCGGCAAAGTGATGATGACTTCACTGGAACTGATACAGTGTGCCATCATGGGTGGTTTTCTAGTGATTTGCTCTCCTATTCATTTAAGAATATTTCTAAATGATTTTGATACCACACAATGCAACCTCATCAGTGGACAGAGCATGTCATGATATTTACTGTCTTCCATTTTTCTTTTGCCGAGCAAAGATAATTCTCAGATATTTCACATCAGTGAGGAAAACATCATAATTACTGCTGTGAACTGAAAGGCTATTTTTGCAACACTTGTATGTCCATGTTCCTTCATACAGATGGAAGCTGAAATGACTTGTCATTTTAAGCTAAGTATCCTTAAAGCCAAGACTCTGGTGCTGCCAATGACCTGGCAACTGTTCTCTACCCGGCAGCCTGGAGCTGCGGAAGCGAGGTGTGGGCAGTATCACAGCGCTCCTGCTGTTCTTGGCTGCTACAACAGCTTTTTGGGCCTTTGAGATACTGCACAGAAATAGAGCAGACATGAAGACTGTCTTATTTATGTCATGGTCCAGAAGATGGGAAGATTCAAGGGACATGTAAAATTGCTGCTGATTCTCCCACCACCTACCTATTCCTGCACTGGTTCTTTTTTATCCAGTGTAAACCAAATGGATGACTAGGGCTTTTTACATGGAAAAGGGGTACACCAAAATTTACATTATTATTACAAAATAGCATACAAAGACAAGGATAAAGGTAGTAACAGATAAAATACCTATACTAGTACAAATTGCTGTTATGATCCTGTCATTTGACAATACCCTTTCATATATGTTCCTTTCAGTGCTCCTCCATCCTATTCTTTTCAGATGAATTATTTTGCATTTTCAAAAAAAATACTTAAGTTAAAACACAGGGTATGCTTTGAATATGTTTTAAATTGACCATTTTATACCCAGTCGAGTATATGACTGCCAACATTAGAAAATACATAGATAAAAATTTACTGCTAGTTATTAAAACAATATTACAGTTGGGATGATATTGGCAACAACCATGATGATGGTAACAGATTGATATATTTTTTTCCCCACACGTTTGTACATATTACCTCAAATTTGATAAAAAGGAGCCTTTTGGAAATGTTCAAAATTCTGTATTTGAAGTCCTACTTAATATTGCTCTTAGGGTAACTTTTCTTATTTGCCCTGGAAGACAAATTGTTACTTGTGTGTATTCTCCTTAGAGTATGTTACGTGTTAATTACTCTGGTTTTAAACTTTACTGTATTTCAGCTACACTTTACTTTATTCCTGCATCTTGTTTAACTAGTATGTAGTTTATTTGTTTTCAAAGAGAAAGGAATAACTTAATATGGTGCTACAAATGCTGAACACTCTTTGCAGGTATGTTTTTTTTCCCTGAGAATGAGAAGAGATACTGACATAGGGAACATACTGAAACTTAGTTTGACAAAATAAAAGAAACAGAAAACTGTTTGAAAGACAGGGTAAATGAGTGAGAAGTTATAACAAACTACTTGATAGAAAAATTATCCGTTTGATAGATATGACTGCAGTGCTGAGTTGTATAGTTACAAATGCACTACAGAGAGGAGTACATAAAAAGAAAATAATGAATGGCAGTAACAATAACCAATGATAAATCTTTCCATAATTCTGATAAGATCATGAATCACAAAGCTAAGGCTGAGATCAGTCCTAATATTGTTCCACAATCTATCACCTTATCTTCTCTCATCTATTACAATTGTTGTTGAAAGTTTTTTTCTTAGACATCGAGAAGAAATCATTATTTAAAATAGTTTGGGATACTGTCTGAATGTGCCTATTGTGTATGTGCTGGCACTGAAGGAGGATTATTCTCCTTTGTGGATGGGGAGTGGCAGGGTAATCATGCTGATGCAATACTGGAAAGTTCTACTCACCATGACACAGACTATCAGCATTACAGAGACAATAATTATTTGCACTTTTATAGTATCTTTCAACTCAAGCTATTACTATGTTCTTTAACATGTTAGTTCATTAATAAAGCCACAAACAAATGCACAGAGAAGTAGAGAAGTACCAATGTACACATTGTACTTCCTGGGAAACACGTCAGTGAAGCAAACAGAACACCTAAGAGTGATTCATGGATGTATTCTTGTACTCCTAGATGGCACTTCCTGCTGACACCAGTTCTGTTCAGTTGCCTTCAGGAAACAGCAGGCTACAATATCTAGGTCAAAAGTAAAAGTCCTTACCGATACTGTAAAAACTGTTCTAGGGGCAAAAAATTGTAATGGTAATTCACAGCCACTTGAAACCAGGGCTTGGACCGAAGTGCAGGAGCCAATTTTATGTGAAGCAAAGGTGTATTACAAAGTGTCAGAGGGCAGAATAATGTTTTCAGCATATTGCACTCTTTTATCTTTAGATATTTTTATTAAAATCAGAAGCAAAAAAATCCACCCAAAACAACTGAAGAGAGATTGCTCTTACTGGAGACAAATAGGACTTCCAAATGCTTTTTCACCTTAAAATACCTAAAAGAATTGTCTTTACAAATTGTACTTAAGGCTTGATTTTATCCAAATTTTTTGTTGGTGGTAAAAGTCAGGTGATTAATGATGTATTAGGGATATAGTAACTGGTAGAAAGAAATCTTAATGCACAGCACTAGGCATCCAAAATTCCTTCCTGAACTCTAGTTCCTCCTGTGGTGTTATCTGCCTTTGTGGCCTGTCACTCACTGAGCCCCTCTGCCTTCCCACTTTTAAATCAGCATAGTAGTACTTATTCAAGCTGTCTGGATAGTAGCTAGCACAAATATTCACATCTAACAGTTGCCTGAGATTCTGAAGTTTTTTGCTTAATGATCTTTGAATTCTTTAGTTATATGTCTTTATCAAGCTAATAGAGCACACAGTTTTAATTAGGAAGGTGACACTACCGCAGTAAAATTCAGAGTATCTTCACTGAAGTTGCGGAGATACCATGACATAAAGTTCATGTTAGAAAAGACTATATTCTTTGCAAGTAATGATCCACAATTTCTAGGTATTCCATGCAGACATTTTTGGCATGATTAGTTTCCTGAATGTTGAAAAAACCCCCCATACTAGCATGTGATATATACACTGTTCAAATATAGTACTCAGTCTGCTCTAGAGGAACCAAAGCCAGCAATAAAAAAGGAACCACAACTTTTAAATGTCAGCATTTGCTGCATCAGAGAGAACAGATTAAATGAGCATAAAAATAAAATGTTAGTATATAAATTTCTACATTAATAATAAAGCTTTGTAAAATAAATACATCACATTCATATTCATGTGATATTAGCATAGATGATTTAGCTGGTATTCATATACAACAGAAACAAGTCCTGTATTTTCTTTAGGTAGCTTCTGATAAATATCTCTTCTGTCAAGAGTTTCAGTTATAAAAACCACATAAGGCTTTGCATTCACTTATGTCTACAGGTTTAGCAAGCAGTAGCAGACAGTGCTTACTACAGTGAGAACTGTTGTTGAAGGCAGTGGGACTATATACAGTAATCCCTGTATATGCCTGTAAGCTTTTTGGAATAGAGACATCATTATATAAACAAGGACCTGAGACTTCTCTGTGTCACTTCAGTTTTTTTATTGCTGTAACTCCCTCTAGCAGAAATATGGGAATAAACCTTTTTATAACTGTAAGCATCACATCATACAGAGGTGAGGCATTGCTGAAGTAAACAGATGTGTAAGCTGCAAGTTCCCTCAGCTTCTGCCTACCTTGATATCAAACATTTCACAGAAATAAGCCTTCAAATATTAAGAAAAAGGATAAATGTTTAACAGTTACATAAGCCCATTTAGTATTACTAGTTTTATTGCCTTCCACTGCCCAATCATTTTTCACATGAATAAAGACCAAAGGCTACAAGCTTTGACCTGGCCACTTGATTTGCTTAGAAAGATTTAGTGTTTCTTTTGCCCCAGGCTTGCAGACGTGCATATGGACTTTACTAGAGCTAGGGCCTAAAAGGACCAAGTCTTCTGTGGTCAGTTTGCCTTAGGACAGGTGGAGTGGTAAGAAGCCTACTTCCCTCTGTCAGACTGCACAGTGGTGACTCATATCCCAACTAACAAGTTCTCTTGGAGTGGAATGCAAGACAATAACTAGACAGCTTCAAAACCCACATTAGATCAAAGCCAAAAATTAAAATCAGTGGTTTCTCATGTAGCATGGTCAGCATTCAGAACAGGAATGTATATTTATTACAGAAATAAGACAATTGTCAAAAAGTGATGATATATTCTGGAATCTATTCCTCACTGGAACCATTAGTAGAAATTGGGAAGAACTCATAAGAGGAATAAATATCATGAATAAGTACAAAATATCTTATTTTAGCATAAATAGAATATAGAAATTGTATTAAAAACTTACTATTTTTCCCCAATGATTGTATACTGATAAGCTGCTAATTAATTTCTATGAAGAGGAAGACTTCCCAAAACAAGGTGTTTGATTTATTCTCCATTTCCTAAATATAAAATTTACAAAATTGTCCTGTTTCCTAAACAGTTTAGGTTAATGGTGACATAGGTCAATCACCTTCTTTCTGTTTTACCAAGAGATGCTGTTGGGTGACTGGTATTTCTGCTTACTTCTGGCAGCTAGTTATTTTGATCCAATGTTAAATCCTGCCTTTATTAAGCTGCTGAAAAATACCTGTTCCAATTAAGTCTTGCACCTTTTTAATACTGCTGTGTTAGAGTACCAACGCTTCTTAGTGCAAGCTGTGTGCAACACTCTGTTATAACACAACAGCTTCTGCTAGAGTTGTTCATACTGTTGGTAGCCCTCCATGTATCTAACTATAACTTGCCAACACTGTGTTGTTAGAATCCACAGTGTGTTGTACACTTAATTTTCTGAAAGATTTTGGAGAGATAGTCTCTAAGCTCAATGTCATCACAAACCAGAAGAGTAAACTGAATGCTTTTGTCACCAGGGACAATAAACTCTCTGAGGGGTGCTTGGGATTCCAGAGTGCCAAGGCAGATCACTGCTGGGGAAGGAAAGCCTGACATCAGCAGACGGGCTACCATAGCTGGTGACAAGTTTCCTTGCAGTCCTAAAAAACCCACTCACAAGAAGGGGTTTGTTAGGAACCATCTGGCTTTTTTTTTAACTGAACTTTCGGTCCAAAAAAGTACAGATCACAGGAACTGAAGAGAACAAAATGTTTTATTGTTTATAATATTTGACTTTTCCCCTTTTTCAAGTTTCTGTTATGATCTTGGTCTTTTGCAATCATTTTATCAATCATTTTATGCAATTTATGCATACATAGCAATGGATATAAAAAGGCACCAGAAAGAATGAACTGAAGCATAAATAAGCCTAAACTCCATCTAATTTAAATACTAAGTGTTCATAGTTCATCTATGTTGTTATTAGCTTTTACAGAGAACCCTGGAGACCAGATCACAAGCATAAGGATTGTTCTGTATCACTCTCCAGAGCAAAGAAAGGTTCCTTCCCAAAAGAGGTCTATCCCAAGCAGAGAGCAGACAGATGTAGTTAAACTGGGAAATGCAATTAGCTAATTGGTCTACGTGGTAGGCACTTCAAGGGCCTAGTTTTTAATTCTTTTAGAAATGAGGTAACTTAGGAGCCCTGAAGGAGAATAGAGGGATCTCTGCATAAACCTATGAGGAGTTACTTCTAAATATAATGTATATACGTTGAGAAAGCTTAAGAGGACATTTTGAAAATGTAACAAATCAGTAGTGTTGACTAACAACATTTTTTCTTTGTATAGAGGAATATTTGAATACCTGAGAAGAAATTTGAGGTAAATAAAATAAAACATGAAAAGACTTGAAAAGATAAGAATGTGCTTGTCTGATGCAACAGAGAAAGAAGAGTCAAGGTTAGGAAGCAAAAATGGGATGATGGCATTAAAGTGATGGAAAATGATCTCTGCAGCCATCAGCCACAAATTGCATGTCAATAGTTTTGAACTTCTACATATTAAAGTAATCAGTGTTCTAGCTAAATTTATTTTACCACCATGACAGAGCTGAAATCAGAGGAGGAAGTGTGGGATGGTTCTGAGGTTTTGTTTCATTGTCAAAATAATTAGCTAATTTCCAAATCTTGATGTGACAGAATTTGGTGAATCTCTTCAATTGGTATTCAGTTGCACTATCCAATTCTTTCTTTGTTAGAAAGCTAAAGAGTGTTTTATCAATCTCACTATTTAATTAAATAATTAGATCCAAATCAATACCAATGCTAACTTGTTATTATGAACTAATTTATTAATCATATTGCCTATTTTAGTGTAAAAAGTAACTTACAGTTAATCAAGATTTTTAAATTGATGCTGTGTCACATCTGCTTCAATGTGCAACATGAGCCAGAACTAATGCGAATCTGGCTGATACCTGCCAATAAATATAAAAGTTAATCAGTTTCCTGATTTAACCTTTGTATATCACATTGCATTCAAATGTAATCATGGAAAGCTGCTAAATGTCCTGTGGCAGCCAAATCACTCAGCTTAGCTGCTGAGAAGATGGTCTCAGTACACATAATGGAAAAGGGAATGGAGATGACAGGGAATTAGAATTACCTTGGAACTCCAGCATAGGGCCTGGACACATCTCAGCTCTTGTGCCTCCAGTACTGACAGGGTTATTACAAATTTTGGATGAGGAGGAAAAAAGAGACGCCATTGTCTTCACAAACCAGACCTGCTGAGCTGATGTAGAAGGGAGAATGGGGACACCACACAGTGGTAAAACCAGTGCTGTGTACGTTACTTTCCTGCTTGCAGAAGCACTGTATCTGTCTTTGGTTAAGACACTGTGGAATCAGAAGCTGTTGCATAAACTTTATGTAAAATATACATAACTTCTGGCTCCTTTTTTTCTTTCCTTTTGTTTTGCTTAACTCACTGTAATAATAACAACCCAAAGATACTTTTTGAATGAACTAATGAGAAAAGTGAAGGCTATTGTTTTAAGTTCTCCAGAATTAAAACGGTGCAGATAACAAGTCCTTTGACATTTTCCCTCTTTGGAATAATACAGGTAGGCCCAAGACAACCAGGCGGAAGATATTAAATCATAGACAGATCAATCCTGGACTTGGAGGGGATCATTCTTCTTTGACTAAAGAACTGACATAAGTGTCTGACTAAAGAGGGATCTGAAGAGCTTTGAATCTGCTAGGATGTCCTGTGGAAGATGGACAAGTTCCTGAGAAAGTAGGTTTTAAGATACATTTTCTTTGAGACCTTTTTAATCTGAATGTGTGGTGCTTTGCTTTTAAGAGTCAATAGGATAATCTTACCTCTGAGACAACATTTAACTCCACAGCCTGAAAATCAGTCAGATCTACTTAGAAGACAGCAACGGAAGTTCAAAGTTGGAGAACTGGGTCTGAAGGAAGTAGATCAGGGATTTTCACACTAAGAAGGAGCTATCTAAAGGCCTGAGATCCAAATGGGCTCTTTCAAGTTTGTTCAGAGGCTGGATCTAGTTAAAAATTGTGTTAAGGACTGCTCTGCTCACTAGTTCTGCTGTTTAAAACCTGCTCTACCCTTTCTGACCATAGGGCAGCGCAGGCAAGGCCAAAAGGGCCTACAGTACCTCCTCACCCTAACACCCACAAGCTCTCAAAACACCCTGTATCCATAAAATAATCCCGTTCCTGAGAGCACAAGCTAGTGCCTGTAATTTCTTTTACTGAACTATTTACAGTTTCCAGACACGCACAAGGTTTGTTTTCCACTCTACTATGTAACTAATGGATTAAGAGCAAAGGGATTGTAAATAAACCCGGGAGTGTCTAGTTTCGTTCTGGAATTATTATTTCTCTGTGCATCAGCATGATTCTGTGGCAATAAAACAGTGTATTACAAGGAGTTTAGATCAAGATACTGATTTTTCTGTTTAATTTTAGAGTTATTAAACGTTGATTGAATGGAAACTGTATAGAACAGTTCTGGAGGGAAAAAAGAGCCAACTTCATAAATGGTATTGGTCATCTATTAGTCTTTTGGGGCATTTCCCCCTACCTGCAAAGCAAGTGTGATGGTAATTTATCTCACAGAGCTTCATAGGAAATGTTTGTAAAGTGTTTTGGAAATCTTCTGTGCACCCTATGCTTGAACACTCTACTTCAAATTTAGAATAATTTAAGTATTGGCTTGAAGGGCATAGGAAGTATTTCCTTGTGGAAGTAGCTGGCTCGCAGAGTTTATCACCTAACTGCATGAACAACAGAACAAAATTACAAAATACCCCACCCAAACTCAAGAAATTATCAATATCGATGGCCCATTAATTTGTTAATGAGGTTAGAGTGCACAACAGGGCCAAGACCTCAGGCTTCCCCTCCCCAGCTGAGAGGGGCTAGCTCCAAAGGAAACTGATTTTAGGAATCACGAGAGCTCTCCACGGGCCCTCGGTACGATTTCTACACCCGAAGGTGGGCGGCTTGCCGAGGAGCGGCAGCCAGAGGCGCTGGGGCTGGGCTGAGGGAGGTGAGGGGCGGTGGCACCCCGTTCCCGCGCCCGGCGGGGGGCGGGGCCCACCGCCTCGCCCTGCCCCTGTGAGCATGCGCAGCGGGAAGAGCCCAGCGGGGCGGTTGCTCGCGTCAGGGCGCTGCAGCACCGCTTCTCCCCCCCGCCGGCGTACGGCGCGAGGGTGACGCACGTCCGCACGTCGCCGGCCGTGGGGCTCCTCCCCGCTGGCGACACCCAGCGCCGGGTGCGGGGAGGGGGCGGCTGCGGGGCCCGGCCGGCGCGGCGGGGCCGCTGGCGGGGGTATATGGCGGCGGTTCTGTCCGCCCTGGCTGCCAGGCTCTCCCAGTCGGCCGCGGCCAGGTCCTACGGGGTGTTCTGCAAGGGGCTGACCCGGACTCTCCTCATCTTCTTCGACCTGGCCTGGAAGCTCCGCATCAACTTCCCCTACCTCTATATCGTCGCCTCCATGATGCTCAACGTGCGGCTGCAGGTGGGCGCTGGCAGGGGCAGCGGGGGCTGGCGGGGCTGGGCAGAGCTCCCGTCCCGGGTTTCCGCCCGGTGGTGCCGCCGCCGGGAGCGAGAACCGCCTGTTCCCGGGGGCGGCGGCGCAGTGGGGTAACGGTGAGGAGCCGCCGGCCGCGGCCCCGCGCTGGGGGGGGCAGGGACTGGCGTTGCGCTCCCTTGTGTCACCAAGGGAAATGTCGCTTGGATTCTGCACGGATGGAGTGAGCTCTGGAGACCTGCATTTGCCTGTGCTGAGGTGTAAGTACCCGTTATGCTGCTTCCTCTGGGCGTTAGCAGCAAACGTGCTGCTTTCTCATCTCAAGTTTATTCGTGTTACTAAGCCACACTTAAAGACCGGCAATAGATAGTGAATATGGACACGTTGGTAGTACATTCTTAATACCCTGTAAGGAGCTAAGCAAATAATTTCCCTCATCAGGTTTGTTTTTTAAGTCAAGCACAATTGTAGCAAAGGAGATGTAGAGATAGTTTAAAAAATGTCATTGCATGAAAATGACCGTTCAAATTTAATTTGTGTCTCTCCTGTCTTGAGCCTGTTCCTCCAAAATGTGGAACTCCCTAAACAGTCTTGACCTAAAGACATCAGGATCTCTCGCTCCTTGTAGGGCTGAAGTTTCATTGGTTTTGTGATGAAATCTTTAACTTAACTGGCAGCAGAAGCAGGCTATGGACTATCCCAACAAACATCTGTTCTGGCCAAAGATTGGACACTTTCTTTCTCCTCATAAACATTGCTGTAATGAAAGGTTTGACATCTGGCTAGTGGCCAAGTGCTGAAAGACAAGTCTGTTTGCAGTTTGTGACTTGTAAAAGGTAAGTTGAAATGGGAAGAGGTCAAAATGCAGTGTCTCATATTTTTAATTTTGGGACTCATCCTACAGTTCTGAAGCTTGTAGCTTAGTAACCTGGGTGGCTAAGAATGCCTTCCCTTTGCTTGTTATCTGTGCTGGTACATAATAGTTTTCTTGTAACAGTATCAGTTTGTCATTTGATTACGATGTAGCTAATGTCCTCTGACTGTGCTGGTGCGGCCAGTCTGACCAGTTCCCTTCGGGAAGCTGTGCATGGTACACTGCTGATTTCCAGTGTGTGTGCCCAATTTCAGCACGCACTTCTGTTGACAGGAATGTTATTTTAATATTTGCCTTTAATGTTAAGCCTCTAATCAGTTACAGTCTGCATTTCTGTTGGTTAAATAAAGTGGTACTGTTACCCAGCAGATCTCTCTAGCTGCTCATTTGCTGACTCCCTTTGATGCCTGTTACCAAAAGAGAGTTTGTAGCAGATTAAATGGAATCTGCAGAAGGAGGTTTATATTTGGGTGTACTTCCTACCCCTTTGGACATGCTCAAGCAATCTGTAGGGAGACTTGTCAGTTTGGACTACTGTTTCTAAAGTTGGGTTATTCTTTCTCTTTATGTTAAAGATTATTTTAAAAAAATTTTTCTATATATTGGACACCAAGAAACCGGGATATTGGCATAATAACTTTGTGCGTTCTTCTTCTTTAGGTCCATATTGAGATCCACTGACCTGTGACTTGGTGTGCTGCTTGCACTGTATGCTGCAACTAGAATCGATCACACTCTTCAAATTCAGCCTGTTGTGAAAGAGTAAAGCTATGCTTGTCTTCTCTAGGACTATGAAGAAAGATTTAAACCAGAAACAAGTATGTGGCAGTGGCCCAGATCATCACAAGGCAGCAGCTCACCTGATGCACATTCATTCTATGTTGAACAATTCTCAAAATCATAGTAGCAGTTTACAAGAATTATTTTATTTTAACACCAGGAATTGTTCTCTGTTTAATACTATACCTCTGTCTTTTCTTGGCAAGGAAATGCCTCTGAGTTTGAGTGAATCAGCTGGGAGGAACTCAAGTGCAGCTGCTCCTTGGAAGGATTCATTTCATCTGCATCTTTCTTCTGGGAAAGACAGCCTTGATACGGTTTCTCACTGCATTAATAGTATTTCAGCAATGGGCTGGCTGGAGAAAGCTTGCAGTTTTCCTGGAGACTTTAGCTCATGCAGTTCAGGAGACAACTTTGCGTTTTTTGCACACTTCTGGCTGGGAAATTTGCAGTATAATAAAACCCTGCAGTTTCTGGAATTAGAAATGAGCAGTAGCAAAGAGAATGAAATGCAGCTTGCATTTCTTAAAGAGACAGAGCTTGGTGGACTTCCTGATCTCTGTTCTACTCCAGCTGCCTCACTGAACAAATATGCTATGGGACTCTTAAACAATCAGAAACCATGTTTTTTGATTTGTTGCTTAAACCTTGTATCTTCTGAGCAAACACCTGGATACAATCAAATGCTTTCAAATATACAATTTGTGACTAATATTTTTCACATCATACAGCTAGTAACTTCTGTGCTAGCTTTTGCACTAGCAGGTCTCTGGTATACAGCAGTGAAGGTAAAAAAGTACTAAGATTTTAGTAATTATTTTTAACATTAATATAAACTTAAATAACAGAGACAAGGTTACAGTACAGGTTTTAGTGAAGTAGACAGCTAAAGTAAAAATTATTCTTGTGTAATTGCTAGTAAAACTGGCTGCTGGAAGGATAGGGACTTTCTTGGGAAGGAGTATCTACATCTGAGTGGAAAGAATTTATAATCTCAAAAATCTTTGGAACTTCTGCAGGTCTGCCATTAACACTAGACTAGAACCCAATTTGATTGCTTAGCATAGATCCTTTGTTTTCTTTAGTGTATGTATTAGTGGAGTGTTCTGGCTATGATTTACAACCATTTCCAATGAAATGGTTTCTTGCAGAATTGAATTCCTGCTCTGAATCCAACAGTATTTAATGTATTGGTCCTTAACACACTTTGAACTGGAAAGCTGTTGGAAAGGTGGTCTTCAATACCGCATAATTCTCAGCACTGTTCTTTTCAAGGATAGTCCTGCTCTAATTTAAACAGTATCTCATGAGTTTTATTGCACTACAATAGACACTATAAACAATTTTCTAAAAGAATGTTTTCTTTCCTTGAAAAAGTGATTGTCATCACTGAAGCACAGTAATTATTTCTGGGCCTGTTGACTTTGGCTTTGGGACAGACTTCTGACAACAGGGTTTGGCAAAGACTGGAGCAAGAATGTTGGAATCAACAGAGATGCTTGTGAATAAGAATTTTCAGGAATAAGCTCCTGTGGGCACTTAGATGGAGAAACTCATTGTGCAGTAGGTTAAAATTTGCACTCAGTGTCCAAAATTCTCAACAAGGGAGTTGGTGTATGTGAGCTTAATGTGTTCCAGGGGCTTACCTAAAGAAGGAGGTGTTGATATAGTGAGTTAGGATGCATTTTCAGCTCATCTTTCACCTTGAGTTAAAAGTGCAGACTTAATGCAGAGTAAAGTCATGCCAGTGATTCACACACCAAGTATCCTTTTTGCTAGCTAGGTTACTTCATTTTGGAAAGAGAAGAAGAGATGTTGCATTTAGTTTGAACTGAATTCACCTGGGAAGCCACTACTTTCTAATGCGGTGTGTATTTGGGTATTAGCACACTTGTATAGAGAAGACCTTGATTATGAAGATGAGATGCCAGTTATCAGTTTTATGGGGAGAAATGCTGAAATTTTAAACCTTATTTGAGTGCTGAAAGCAAGATACACTACTTCTTGTTAAATGATATGCTGTGTTTTTATTACCCCATTGGTTGTCTATTTCTTCTGGATGTTAGAAGAGGTAAAAAGCCACTTTAATTTAGAAAGTATCTTTTTCCCTGGTGTGTACTTCTATTAACTGCTTAACTTCTAGACTTTTGGCCACATGATTACCTGTCACAGAACTACTCAAACCCTCAAAATAATAAGGGATTATATATTGTAAGTAATTATTTTGACACCAAGTTTCTTCTTATTCAAGGCATTCAGCTATTCACGCCCATCTCCACTGCTGCAATTTATCACCCTTGCAGTGGTATTAACATGAGATTAATGCTAGGTTGCTGAAGTGATGTGGATCTGAAACCCCAAACCACCAGAAACAAATATACTTCTCCAGAAATCTGTGGCTTATTTGAATTATGGTGTTAAGCTGTTGTCTGCATACAGCTTGACCCAAAACAGGCACTTGGCAGAGCGGAGGGTAGAGGAATGAAGGTGGGGAGAGGTTAGAGCCAGTTTAAGCTGGCATGATTGCTAAAGAAAACATTGTGTAACTGCATCTTCCATGGTAACAGGTAAATAAATACTCTTTTCCTGTATGGTGAGCTTTTTTTTTTTTAAGTTGCACATAAACACAGTCCTGCTTCCATAACCGAGTCCTTGAAGTTCCTATATAAAGATGTGATTGGCACAATTGTACCTGTAGTTGTTACTTGAGACCTTGTCTGTTCAGCTGAATGGTTTGGCCTGGAAGATTCTCTACTCTGCTGAACATCATTTGGAAAACATAGTCATATACAACAGCAACTTGTAGGTGATATTGTCATGTTAATAGGCAAGAGGATTAGCTAAAGGCATAAAAGCATTAATCCAGCTTTTAACACCTACTAATTGTGGTGATTTTAAAGAGGGGGGAAGAGGAGGAAAAACAAAATATGAGAGAAACCATCTGTAAATTAGAATTTTAATGTGTGTACAGTGGTGTGCTAAGGGTTGTCTCTATCCATGACAAGCCTATGCAGGAGGGTATCTTGGAATGCTGAATCACATTATGTATCACAGTCCAGCTAATACAGTCCTGTTTTAAGTAAGATTTCTTTTGAGTGAGTGGCCTTTAATCACTTATTACAGGATCACTTTAAATACAGATACAATACAGCTAAGCAAAATGATGGATTTGTATATTCTATGTCTATTGAACATAAAATTTATTAAATGCATGGATTTAATCCATTTTAAGATAGTTTATGTACTTTGCCTTGGATTTTATTGCTTAAAACCTAAAAGGTAGCTTTCTAACTTGAACATTCCTTCTGAAATTCAAATAAAGGAGTTTGGTATGTTAAAATGTCACGTGATGTACTGCACTTTAAGGTTGGGGAGGCTGTAAATTGAAAGTACTGTTATTTCACTAATAGAACTGTTTGACTGGCAGCGACAACGCTCAAATGGCTTTTACTGTCTGGAAGGAGAATAGTGAACCAGAAGGATGGCAATCCTTTGAAACTATGTGTCAATCAAACACTATATGGTTTAGGCCACTGTTCTCTTCCTACAAATGTTTTGATATTAACTCATCTCAAAGATGGAAGATTGTCTCAGCTAGGAACCAGTTTTTATGGAGTTTCGTGGCTTCAGTAAGTCAGATGTGGAAACCTTTTCTGACTAAATATGCTGTTAGGGCTGAGACTTGGATAATTGTTATAGTAAAGAAGAATAACATTTTTAGTAGGGGTAAGGGACCTTTACACTGAACCAAGAGATGCCTTCTTATTTCCAGTTCCTCTCTCATCTTGGTCTTCTGTTGGTGTTGGAAAGAGGTATTTCTAAGCAAAATGTCAGGGTTCCAATAAACAACTCATGCTTTCTAAAGTTTCAACAATCAGTGTCCAGATCCTTCCTGCATTACATAGCAAAGAGTTCTATTTTTGCCATTAGAAAACACGTTAAGTAAGAAAATATTCAATATTTAGAGAATTGCCTAGTAGTTTCCCATAAATGTACACTTGAGTGGAAATTTCCTATATAGTGTACTGCTTTGAAAAAGAAAATTTACTTTTAAATCTGTGTACACAGAGCTCTGCATGTAGATAAAAAGTGTTTTATCACAGTATGATGTTGGAATGCTTATGCAAATGCTTATTTACTTTCTGACATTACAGTGCATAATGCAGTAGAGATGTGTTGTACTTCTCAGTGTGATATTAGCTAGTGCAATCTTAAAACTGTCTCGTGGTGCATGACAATGCACACGATTTCTATCTGTAGACCTTATTTAGCCTTTTGCTTTTCCAGTGTTGTGTTGGTTGCTTTTTTTTTTTTTGGGGGGGGGGGGGTTTGGTGTTTTGTTGTGTTTTTTTTGTTTGTTTAGGACTGTAAAGACTGCACTTTCTTAAACTCTGCCAAAGTTTGCTTTCTTTCTCCTTTTTTCTTCCCTTGCCCCTCCTAACAGGTATACACACTTAACTTTTGGAAGAAGCAAGCCTGTGTGTACTTTCCTAATATATCATCTTATTGTACAGTTGTTCCTTTTGTTATGTGGCCTGGTCTTACCTATATTTCTCCCTCTCTTCCCTCCCCATCATTTCGCAGCATAAGCATATGCTGATATTCTGTTCCGTCTCAGAAACGCTCCCCTTAATTAATTATGCATAACGAATTGACAGAAACCACGTAGAGATGTAAGCATCCATAGTCTGTCACTAGGGTGTATGACAACTGGTATATCTGACAGAGCAATAGGCAGTCAATGTGACATTTCTACTTTTTCCCTTCAAAACAGCTGCTTTGATTAAAATTAATATTTAATTTGAACTGTAGTATCTCTGTCGGCTGAGAATTGCGTCTAGAATTTGTATCAAACACATTGAGGTCAAAACTTAAATAGTTACACTAGCTTCAATACTCTTCCGGTTTTTAAGTTATTAGTAGAACTTTCTGAAAAATTCACATGAATGTACTCTTAGTATTTTGAAACCTATTTTTTCTAAGAGTGTAGAGAATAAAATGTGTTCTGACACTTGTTTCTGTGATGTCAATAACTGGGGAAAAAACCCCCACTTTTTAGGATTTTTTAAAAAAATATTTGTAATGAATTCCCTTTCAATATCTCAGACTACAAAGCCTCTAATCCTAAAGGAAGAGCTGCAGTTGGTAGGACTTTCAAATAAACAACTTGTTGCCTATGAAAATACTATTATTTATGATCAGCTCACATACTTAAATATAAGGACACAGATATCAATCTGCTGATGGTGTGAAAACTAGAATAATATAGAAGTGCTAGAATAATGGTATCCTTTACCACCCTACACTACGTAAATCCTACTGGTGTGTACTTTGAAATTAATCCTGTATTGCTTCAAAAAATCTCAATTATCTTAGTCTTTTTGGAATTGATGATACAAGATTCAGAACAAGTAGGTGGTTATTCCATTGTTAATGAACTACATTTAAAAGCATTTTAGAAAATGGCCTGAGGTACTTCCAGAAAGAAAATCTGCCTTGAAAAGATCCAGTTTATTACTGTGATCTCAATATGTTTATAGTCTGTTTTGCAACTCTCGTTTCTTCTTTTTGTGGAAGATCTGTATAAACCTGATAGCAAAAATGGTTAAAATACAAAAGTATCAGTGTTCTTTTATCTTCTGTTTGTAGTCAGTTTTATCTATTATCAGAAATAAAAATACGTAGATGTAATTTAAGCTTCTGTTCTTCAAAGTAAGTAAAACTAATGCTTAGGGCCTGACTCATCGCTTGAAGTTGAGTGTTCTATGAACTTTCTTAAAAATAGGGTCTGCTACCTGCCAGTGACTAACACTAACTTTAATTGCCGATACTTAATACTTCTTGTAAACTGTGATGTTTTCCATGCAGAACAATTTTAAGTCTGTGGTCCTGGTATTTGGCCCTAATTTTTTTTTTTATTGCAATCTGGGAGATGGAAAAGGTTGGCACAAACCATTTTTGTTTGTTCCAGAGAAAGATGTTTACAACTTTGTATGTATTTTAGAAATTTATTGTAACACTTTTTAACTTGAGAGGAGTTTCCATAGTAAACTTGAAACCTGTTGTCCTAAAGAGGTGAATACAGACTATTGAATAATATAGAGTGTTATCTAAGCTTCCAGAAGCTGTTGATTGTAATGCTGCTCGCTTATACCACAGGAGGGAGTTAAACATCAGTCTTCTAATTATTTTCAGTTACGGCATAGTTTTTTTTCTCAGTACAGTGCATTTCAGTTTATAAATATGCTGACTTTGACTAGTCTTATGGATTGTCACTGCAAATACGTTAATGTACAAAATCAATACAGAGCAGTAATGTATTGTAACTGTTTACAATTGAATTCTGAGTACCAGTTGATGGGTTTTATCAAGCTATTTAAAAACAAATAAAAATATTTTAAAAAATAATTTTTTGTCTGCGCTCAACAAACGAGCTAGTTTTGGTGCTTCTCATTCCAATTTTTCACTGTATAAATTGTACAGATGAACTTAAAGAGATCATGTTTCTGACAATATAGTCAAACAGTGAGGGTTTTTTTTCAGAGATGATTAAAGATGTGTGTGTTTACTGAATACCAAACAAAGTTAAAACCTTTGTGAGAAGAAAAGGGCTAAATGCCTTATGCTTGGCCTTGGAAACTTGATATCTGAGCTCTAGGCTAGCTTAATTATGTTAGCCGCCAATATTCATTCATAGGCATTCTCTTTACACACTTAGTGACACACCTTAACAAACCAGTTACATCCAATGCAATTCCAAGCTATCTGCTAACCAGCTAGCTCTAATCTTGCAACATAGCTTCATTTTGGAAGGGGAAGGCAAACCATGCTCAATATGCTAGAGTTACTATGGCCGTTCTATGTAAGTCAGGATGACACTGGATGTTTCTCTTCAGGGTAAAAATCACATTAGTATTAACAGATATGTCAGACCTCTTATTTTTGCTGAATAAAATATTTACATTAAAGGAGTGGAATAAATATGTATCCTCTGCCTAACGTTAAGCATTAAAAAGCCTATTTAAAAAACCAAACAGAAACCCCTCACTTTTCCAATCTCTCCTCTGAAAGTTGCTATCATGACTTTCTGATTCTAGACTCAAAAAACATAATTAACTTACAGTTTTTGTTTGATCTCAGGGTCCCTTGATGCCACAAGTGATACATTTTGAGGAAGCATGTTACTGTTACATGCTGTATTTATTCTGAAAAGAAATGATATTGGCAACGCAGAAGAAAAGGCTGATACTTTGAGTACAAAATTAACGTGTACTATTTTTCTTAATGATGAATGCTGAAAGCCTCTTTCCCCTCAAAACATGCATTTAAACAGAAAAAAAAAAGGGAGGGGGAAGGAAAATTAATGTAATCATCTAATAAGGTCTATGAAGTTTTGGCGTAAAGTTAGACATCCACAGTTAAGAAAGTGCTATCAACGTATTCTCTGCACTTCACTGTAGATCCCTCACTGCTTCTGGAATTTGCATGATACATACTGAAGTAATAGTTTCTAACCTCTTTAGCTGCCCACGATGTTCCAGCCACCCCACTGTGACACTGATGTGATCTACCCTTAATTATTCAAGTTGTCATCACCTTCAGATGGTTTATCAGTAGTTTTATATATATTTATATAAATGGGCATGATACCTGCAGTACATGGGGAATGCCAAGGAACTTGGAATACTTTTGCAAATAAACTCAGGAATAGACATGCTACCACAAGCATATCCAAATCTCTTCCTATTAAGGTATGAATTCAGATTCAAGTTGGTGGCCTATGACTTTGTGGTAGTCTGTCTTTGTTCATCTTGTACTATAGAATTCTGAGAGCAGTTCATCTGTACAGGAACCCAAATTTTCTCTATTCAAATCTGAGATCACCAGAGGAACTCTTAGCAATTTAGACCTATCACAACATTTCCCTCTTCAGTATTTTTGTCAGCTCTTGCCTTTTCTGGCATATACAATAGCAGCTTAAAATTAAAAAAACAACACCTCAAACCAAACACAAATACCAAAGATTCTGCTGAAGATATTAATATTTCTTAAGGAGGGGACTTTTTAAAAGTGGATGGAGTGCTTTACCCTCCATTAAAAAAAGAAAATGTCGGATGGGGGTCTTGCTATCAAGAACTGTGGTGTGCCTGTAAAAAGTGCATTGTAAGTCTCTTGAGCATTAGGAAGCATTATGCCTATTATCACAAATATTTTCTACACATATCAAAATACTCCTTTATTTATCTTTGACCTCATAGTTCAAAGAAAATTTAAAAACCAAACAAAGAAAAAAACCCAAACCCCACATTTTGGAATTCTTTCAAGTATTATGCATTGTTAAAAGTATCCCCAAGGGCAAAGGACAAAAACAGAAGTCAAATGCTCACCTCTTGCTCATTGAACAAAAATTACAGATTACTAAATTGCCTTTCAGATCTTAGCCTTGTATTCCAAGTATTGCACACTCACTGCAAGCATATATGACCTGCTCCAGAGTTAGAACAGTTAAATTTCCAATTTCCGGTCATTGCTCCCCTCCTTCAATATAAAAACATTTAATACTAGAAAAAAAAAAAATTATGACACTGTATAGCACCTTTCTAAGGGCTTGCTTGTGCACCTTCAGGTGTCTGTCAGTTTAGGTCAGCTTTGTAGATGTTGAATTTTCTATAAGGCTGAAAATCAGAGATTATCACAAAAACTAGGTTTACTTGTCAAGACAGAATGAAAATTCAAACATTTTTCAAAGTTGGACAGCCTTCTTTTATCCTCTCTTCCCTCTGGCTGCTTTCTGAGTGAGAACATCTGTATAGACTATAGCAGGTTTCAAGTCCCTCACTTTGTTACACAGAGTGTGTTCCCAACAATCTGTTGGTTAAAATAAAAGCTGTCTGGTCTGTGTTGTCACTGTCAAACATAATTTTCAGAGCTCTTCCTCACATTTTCTTTCTGGTTTACAATCATTCATTTGCAGCTGATTACTCTATCTTCTGATTTCTATCTATTTAGCTAAACTACTTACTTGCCAATGCCAGCAAGCTATAAGTCTGTAGAGATTTTCACCACTGGGTCTTTTGTTATGACCAATTCATGAAGCTTCTTCAGTACTTGATGAGTTCATAGTTAATTCTAATGTATTTTCATAAAGTATCCACGGGGCATTCTGGCTGTTCCTGAATGGATTAGTTAGCAGTTTCCTCACATAGGAAGTGATTTTTCTCAAGGCCCCTACTGAAACAGCATTGTCCAAAGGTTTGATTCCATTTTGTATATTGCTATTGTTACTATAAAATAATGCTTTTATCAGTGAAAATACTTCTGATAAATCTTAGTCACTCACATGCGCTTGCTAAATACAGCAGCTGATCTGCTTAGGAGGGAACTGCACTTCTGCCTCCTGGCAGATATTCTAGCTGTGATAGATAATGAACATATACAAGATGACTCTTCTCAACGTAATATATAAAACCTGAGAAGTAAGGAATAAACTCGGGGGGAAAAAAAAGACCAACCAAGAAAAAAAAGTGCTTTGAACATCTTCTTGGTTTGATATGTCATTTTACCAGAAACTTGGGATGAGTAGTAGTGAATTACAACCTGAGACAAGAAGCAACATAGATATGATCTGATTTTCCTCTATACCAGGAACTCTGTCAAATAGTTCAGACACCACAGAGGGGGTGGGGTTAAATAAGGACTGGAAATGGGCTCAGAAGAAATAAAAAAGCCCAAGTGTTTTACATCCATTTAATGGAAAAGGAAAATTAGACTTTTACTATTTTCCCCCCGGAGTTATTTCTGTTGTCCTTCCAGTCCAACACATACCTTACGATAATGCAGAACTAGAATGTGATGTAGCCCATTAAAAATGTGGAGAAAGCAAGCAAGGTTTTGGCTATTTTTTTTTGCATTTCAGAAAGTGTAATCAATAAGAAAAGAAATCTGATAGTAGGATTTATCTGTTTAAGTAACTTAAAGTGGTTTTAGTAGGGCAAATCACAGTTTCAATCCTGTAATCCAATCACGCAAGATCAGTACTGATGTCTAGCCTTGTTGACTTAATCAGAACTCTGTTAGCATGCGGATTGCCCTATGTGAACCAATCTACAAGGTCTGGACTTGCGTGTTTTATGGCAATATGCTTAAATTTAGGCCAGATTAAAAGTCCAGGCCTACGGACAGCAGAGTCATTGTGAATCTTCCCACCTATTCAAATGGAGACAATATGATGTTCCTGAAGTGCTTTGAAATTCATTGCTTACTTCCAAAATATTGTACTCCTCATAGAAAAAGAATCTTAAAATATAAGTGTATAATTTCAAAACAAAGAATCAGCATTTGTGAACTGAGAAGCATCAAGATAAAATACACTATGTCCAAAGTAACAGCATACTGGATGGTCTCCTAAAACAGAGAAAAATCCTAGGAATTCCATTTATAAAATGGTATAATTTGCTACTTTATTTGAATGATTAAATTGATAACAGCTTTTGCCAAGAATTTTTACATAGCTTTAGTCCCTATTGTTTTTTAATTTTAGATATTCTCACATGAACTGCCCAAAGTCATTGTTAACAAGGGTATTACAGCTTTTTATGCAAAGTAAGTGTATTTTTTTTTTCCCCCCGGAGTACTAAATTTCAATTTTTTTGTTTCTCAACTACACATTGTTCACCTGTGATATGCTGGTTCTTGCATTACTTTGTTTAAATTCAGCTGCTTGATGTTGGTGCTGCAGTAAAAGAAATAGAAGTGTAATATTTTTATCTACTACTAATGATCAAGAAAACATACTGGACTACTCTCTTCAAATGGTGAGTTAATGAAGTCACACCAAATTACATTAATTCGGAAGTCCTTACAAGAAATCACGCTGTTAGAAAAAATGAGTATAAAAAAATGTTTTTCAGAGCTCTTTTTCACAGTTTAAATCACAACAAATTCTGCTTTCAAATTACTCTGACAAACATTGTTGTGTTGCAATAATTTCTTGTTATTGTAAGGAAGAATCCACAGTCAGTTTCTCCCAGTTATTCTAAAGGGTGTTGTGACTGATATACACTGGCCAAATCATAATAGAATATCTCCTTGTACTTTTCACTTTTAACGGAAGGTGCCCCAACTAACTAAATTCAGTAAATCAGAGAGGATTTGATATTGCCTTTTTCTTTATTTTGCTGTTATTACCAGTGGCTTTATTAAAAAAGTACAACGTTGAAGTGTTAAATAATTGCTGATTGTTAGCAGAAGGGGAGGATAAGTTATTTTAATCAGGCAGACCCCAAACTCAGAGGTGGAGTCTGCATCTGAACTTTTGCTAATGAGCTCAGTAAAGAAATCAAAAGAGTTCCCGTTATTCAACCAACTATTGATGAGTGGACAAGCCTCTGTTCAAAACTGGACTGAAA